TATAGAAGGTTCACTTGATATTATTATTCATTGATTATGTCGAGCAAATATGTTTCGCTTTTTTTCCCTTCAGATTTAAGGTTTAAATTCAATTGCATTAAATATCTATCTGAAAATAGAATGCAAATATTGTTTTTAACTTAAATAATGTTTTCTTTTGAAATCCTTAAAAATAGATTTTAATAGTATTTAAGTAAAGTGTTTTTTTCTTGTTTTTTGTTGTTACCAGAATTAAAAGTAATCTAGTGCAACATATATTTTTTAACTGAATAAATTTAAAATTGCTACATTGTAATTAGGCGATCTAATTTTCATTTGAACTCTTAGTTTCTTTGTTTTTTATCATTTTAAATAGTTCATGCATTACAGTAAAATTTTTTGACAGTGCAAAATAAATTTGATACATTTTATAGTCAGAATTTGAATAAGATTTTATAAAAAACGAAATAAGAAAGTTTTAATTTATAAATAAGGCATTATAGCTACGTATCCAGGGATTTAGTTATAATTAGCCACAGTTTTTAATGATTAACGTTTCAATACGATTAGCTGTTAGGCTTAACTGCGTAGACGGCCATTTATGTTTTAAAAGGTTACATAAAAACAGTTTTTATCTGGTGCAACTGTTAAAATCATTGGCAACACAGAAAGCTTAACCTAATTCAAAATTTATTTATAAAGTAAATAATTAGAAGCTATAATTTGCATAGCTTTCAATTTATATCAGGTAGAGGTCAATGAAAAGTTTTTTATGAAAATTGAAAATATTGGATAAATAATAAATATTGATTCGTAATTTTTAATACATGCCAGAAAAAAAAACGCCTGAAGCCTAAGGAGACAATAATATAGGTTTAAAGAAACTGATCCAAATGCACCCGAATTGTTTTGATTTAAAATATTAATTATTTTAAATCAAAATTATCGAATTAAAGTACGATTGTTTATAGCAAGAGCTTCTGCGGGCAATGAAACATAAAAGTTAATTCCTAATTAGTTATTCGTGTTTTTAGATCAACTCAAAAACGTATACAGAGCATAACCCTTGGGCAGGCTCTGGTTCAAATCATTTCATAAAATGATAGGTTTCTATTTTGTGCTTTAGGGACTTATCTAGTTGTATTTTTTAAATATTAGAGCTTGAGTACGAGCTCAGTGGCGTACGCAAGGGAGGGGTTTAGGGGTTTAAACACCCCCTTGAGCTCAGACAAAATGGCAAAAATAAAAATTTTAGTAGAAATTATGCGAGCTATTATTTTTTAAGACAATATATTTTTATCTGCCTTATGCCTACTTTTTTTTTCTCGCGGTATTTCTCAGAATACTGAAAAAACATTTACTATAATAGGGTTGTACTTTTGAAACCAAATTCACGTGATACTGTTACGGACTGGTTCCTTTCTGTCCTGCCAGTATAGTTTTCGAGACTGGCTGTCATTCGCGAGGTCTTTACGCGATGATTCTGGAATCCTAGACGTTCTGTCGTCTTTGAGACAATTCGAGAATTTTGGAGATGCGGTGAAAAATTATATAAAAGGGGGAACGGAGTACAGTGGAGTTAGTTAGTCAGACTAAGAGTTATCTCTGCCGCTTGTCTTTCGGAGCTTGTCGCTAAATCTGTTTTGATTTATCTCAACAAAAAGTTCATTCAATCGCCGAACCCGTCGTCGCCACTATTTCGACTAGTGAAGAAATCAGTAACAATACCATTGGAGATACTGTGCTCGTTGAAGTTATTCATTCCAGCTCGAAACTTTGAGATCGTAGCATAGCGGATATTTCTGTGCCAATATATATATATATTTGCTGTTCTTGGATCTTTAGGATTTAACAATTTTTAACACAAGAATTTAGCAATTTTTAATTATTTTGAGAAAAAATCACGATCTGAAATTAGTGAGGTGACAGCATCTAGTACCAATGTAAGTTTTTCTGTTGTACAGAAATGTGATACTTCCGTTGAAGAAAACGTTTCTAGCATAACAAAATCTGATGAATGTGAAAGTGGCCCTCAAAGTGTTACTTCCCACCCATATGACATTGGACTTTTTTCAGAAGATATTACATGCGAGAAGATATTACATTATGTTCTTAAACTTAAAAAATCAAATCAAAATTTAACTAAACAATGTTGTCTAAATAAAAAGTCAAAATTGTCTAGCTGTCTAAATTAGGGAAATAATAGTGCTTTATTACAGACTCGAATTTCTTTTAGTAGTTTCAGAAAATTATGAACACCCCCCTTGAAAAAATTCTGCGTACGCCACTTGACGAGCTTTTAAACTTAATTTAGAGTAGCTATGAGAAAGTAAATTTACAAAAAGTAACTTGAGTTTTTAGAATTGAAAAATTTATTTCATATTGTTATTTTGCCGATGAAATAAAGAAAAAGATATTTACCATACAAGCTTTTGTTTTTCCGTTAGAAATTGCACAGAATTGTTTTGAAAAAAAGTAGTTTCTATAATAATAGGCACAGGGTCTACCGTCAATAATACTTGAAGTGCCTTCACGAAGTACTTCCGTGGGATCTGAAGAGAAAACAAAGCAGAATCAATATATCAGTGTATATTAAAATCTTTGAATTACAATAAAATCATATTTTGTATCAAAAAATTATCGAAATATTGTATGACTTAATTTTGGCGATAATAATACGATCAATTATTGTTGTCGTGATTGGAAGGTGTAATAACGTGAGGCACAAAGTTTCAATAGAAATTCGAACCCTCTAGCTAATCAGATACTGAAGTTTCGATTACCAGATTCTACATCACTAACTCGAAATTGGGTTATGAAAAACGTCGTAAAATATTAAACCTTTACTTAATTAATAAACTTTGGGACAAAACTATTCCTATCAGTCCTAATCTGCTATTGTTTCCTATCATTCTTAAGCTGATCCATTTATAATCAGCTTACCTGAAACGAGCAATCATAATTTTTTTTTCTTATAGAAAGGTTTTACATAACACTTTGAAAAAACTTACAATTTTTAAAATTTTTTTTTTCACTTAGCCAATTTGAATTATTTGTCTGACCAATTTACTTTTAAATTATTTATAATATATGTAATTTAATATTACTAATTTTTAGGAATAATTAATACGGGACAACGATAATATATCAGTATATATTGCTAGTTGCTTTGTTTCGAAATTAAAACAATAGTTTTATAAAATTTGAAAATTTTAAATTTTTCGCTGCTACTGAATACCCACTACTGCAATCAATGCCTAAATTACTAACAATAAGAAAAAAGGAAATCAAATTTAAAGTAAGCAGAAGTTGAGCAAGTTATCAACGTTGGATGCAACGAAACATTAATTTAGTGATGTTTTCATTAAATTTTTGTGAAGGATATGCATAACAAAAGCTCTTTATGTTGTTGTTTTTTTATTTGTCTTTCAACTTTTAATTTAAATAAGGTACATTTTCTTAAATATGGCTGAGGTAACGTTTAAAAAAAAGGTTTTTAGAAATTTTCTCAGTGGTATTTCCCCTGAAAAGATATACCTAGTTTAGAAAAAGCTTACTTTGATACAACGAAAAGTATTAAAAAAGTAATAGAAAATTAATTAATGCAAAAACATTATGGATTAAAAAAGTAATCAATGATTAATTAATGCAAAAACATTTAATAGAGTATTAACGCTAGAAAGACGGAAAATTAGCATGTACTAATATTGCCCAAAAGCAGTCAAAATGACAGCATTGTGAATGCGTAAATAAATTTGTTTAAAATTANATATATCAGTATATATTGCTAGCTGCTTTGTTTCGAAATTAAAACAATAGTTTTATAAAATTTGAAAATTTTAAATTTTTCGCTGCTACTGAATACCCACTACTGCAATCAATGCCTAAATTACTAACAATAAAAAATAAAAAAATTAAATTTAAAGTGAGCAAAAGTTGAACAAGTTATCAACGTTGGATACAACGAAATATTAATTTAGTAATGTTTTCATTTAATTTTTGTGAAAGACATACATAACAAAAGCTCTTTACGTTTTTTTATTTATTTGTGTTTCAACTCTCAAATTAAATAAGGTACATTTTCTTAAATCTACTTGAGGTAACGTTTAAAAAAAATGGTTTTTAGAAAACTTCGCAGTGATATATCCCCAGAAAATATACAGGGTGTCTGAGTTAAGCGTTTCAGAACTTCTAAGAGGGGTAGGGGGCATCCTGACGACTCGAAATCATATAGCAATGTGGGGTCGGAAATGCTTTCCTGAAGCGGTCACGTACACAGAAGCACCATAAAGAAAAGAGACCGTAAGTGAAAAATCGCTATAATAATACATTGAAAAAATTATATGGCCTCCTCGGTCACCCGACCTATCATGTCTTGATTTCTGGAGTCATATGAAAACACTGGTTTATGACACCCCTGTTGATAATGCTGGTTGCAAGAATCGTAGTAGCTGCCTGCGAGATATGCCTGGAGTATTGCAGAATGTTCGAATGTCCATTATCCGGAGATGTGAGGTGTACATTGTAGCCGGTGGCAGAAACTTCGAACACTTACTTTGGCCCATGTACCATGTAATTTTTTCAATGCATTGTTATAGCGATTTTTCACTTACGGTCTTTATGGTGCTTCTGTGTACGTCACCGCTTCAGGAAAGAATTTCCGACCCCACATTGATATATGATTTCGAGTCGTCAGGATGCCCCCTACCCCTCCTAGAAGTTCTGAAACGCTTAACTGAGACACCCTGTATATCTAGTTTAGAAAAAAGCTTACTTTGATACAACGAAAAGTATTAAAAAAGTAATAGAAAATTAATTAATGCAAAAACATTATGGATTAAAAAAGTAATCAAAGATTAATTAATGCAAAAACATNACTGTATATGTTGTACAAAAAGTCACAAAATTCTAAGAAATTGCGTCATTATATACATCATTGTTTTTCTAATTGAAATTAAAAGCAGTCGAAATGACTTTCTTAGGCAATCTAGTGTTAAAAAAGGTGTGTTAAATTTCCCATGTCAGTGCATTTTGTAAAGAGATAGGTGCATGGAAAAACTATACTTGCAATGCCTTGATACTTCGCCAAAACCAGCAATATGTAGTTTCTTGCCCAATGTAATACTATTTTTAGGTGGATTGACACAAATTGGTTTGCTGTATGGTGTGCAAGGGATGGAATGTTGTAGTTCCAAAAGTGCTATATCATTGTTAAATGTTGACAATTCAAACTCAGGATGATTTATAATCCGTTTCACTGGTACTATTTTAGCAGGTTGATATTTGTTTTCACCTAACAATCCAATTTGTACTGTTGGTATTATTGTTTTGCACAGGAAGGGTAGCACCCCGCACATTGCAGATCTGGTAGAAAAGAAATGAAAATTTATGTTATAAACTAACTCACCACTCTGAAAACAAAACTCAAAACATTCCAAATAGTGTTTTGTAGTAAATAAACACCACGTAGTTTTTATATGATCCAGATAGCACAAAATCATCTAATAGACGTCTACTAGATATCGCAGACATCCACGAAGGTCCGCATGGTGGATGTCCACAAGATATCCATTTTTGATTCCAACAGTCGTCCATCAGATATCCACCATACCTTTTTCGCGGATGGGATATGGATAATTTGATCCATAGTCTATCCAGGCATGGACGTCTGGTAGACAGTGGCAGGAATTATTCCTGATCCATGAGTCCTACCATGAGATACCAGTCCATGAACGTTCAATATTGTACCATGATGAACACTCGCTTGGAATCAGACATTCCACGATAACTGATTCTACAGGCGTGTCTAAAATGTAACCAATCACACAATTTATGGATATTTTTTTTAAGTGTGGCAACATTAGCATAAATAAAACGAGTTTATACGACTACGAAATGAGCTAGTGCTATTTAGAAAATATAATTAAATTAATTTAAAATATAATTTACATTATCATATAAAGTGTAAATTATATTTTACATATATAATTGCCTTTACGTGACATTTGGAAGATGTCTTTAAAATATTATATATATGTATATAATTGTGATTTATAATTATGATAAAAGTTTCAATTCACTCAGATGTTCCGAGATTCACATGAAGTGAAATTAGCAACTTAACATTCTCAACTTTCAACCATTCACCTAACTTAACAGTTGGATCCAAATTTTCCGGAGTCCAGTTATCCTTCATATAATGAAGGTTAAATTTCTAAACCCGTCGGAAAAAAAGTCATGTTTATTCAGAGAAAGTGCATTTTCGTGTCTGATTTTGTAATTCAGAATAACTTCTTGACAAATCAATTAGCATAGTTATTAGTTAAGGTTAGAACCATTAAGACTGCACGATAGAGCTTAAAAATCATATTGCTTAAACTAAAGTAAAAAAAAAAAACATCTTGAATAAACCACAAATTAAAGTACATAAACTAACATGCTTTAGTTACAGTTTTATAACAGTTCAGTTTCATAAGGACCTTCCTCAGTGTTCAGAAGGTAGAGTCTAGAAGTGTTTAGAAGAAGTAAAGAGAAGAACATGCGTAAAGTGGTTCAACTAATAAGGGAAGAGGAACAAGTTTGGACAAAGAAATAACAGGGGGGTGATAAGAAACAAGCGTGAGCGGATTTGGCGAGACACTCCATGGTGCATTAGATTAAATTAAAATGGATTTCCAATGTATTTGGAAATGGTGGGATACTCGAGCGATCATTAACTAAATTATTAGAATTTTTCCAAAAATAGAATGTTTCCTGAAAATCACTACCGGAAGGTGAAGAGCAGTGTTGATTGAGTTTAGTAAAAGCAAACTCAAGCTTGTGATTTGAATTCCAACAGTCTAAAGTAATAGAAGATTTGTTCATGCCCTGATTTTTGCTGTATCTTTCATGTTATTAAAGTCGGAGTATAAGGTTATGTTTAGTTTGTCCTAGGTACGCAAGACCACACGTACACAAATTTTAATAAATACCCCAGCTATATTATCAGCATATTACTTACTTTGTTTGAGGAGAGAAACAATGCGCTGCGGTTAAGACAAATGTTGGAGAAATTAAAGCTCCTGTGCAACCACCCCATGGTAGCTTCTTTACTGAGTTCGTAAATAATATACCGACCTAAAAAGTAACTACTTTTTATTCTTGATCATGGTTCCGTCAAAGTCAATAAAAAACTCGTAATAATAAGTTTTTACTAAAGTCTTTGTGGTCATGTAAATGTTAGAGAATAATATGCTTATTTTATAACTTGCGTGTTTGTGTAACAGATATTCGTATCTGTTAGGTTAATTTTTGTTCATCTTCGCGCTCTCCATTCTTTATACTTTATTTTATGAAAAAGTTGAGGGATAATTTTTTTAATATGTGAAAGCTTAGTTCAGTTCAGCACTGCATAGTATGAAAATATGCAAAAAGTGGGAAATATTCATTGATTTTAATGTTCATCCAGGTGGATTATAATTAAAAAATAAATAGATTAAATACTTTTTAAAAAATTAACAAAATTCAAGATTTTTTTTTTAAAGAGACGTAATATACAATGGAATTCAACTCAGCGATTGAATTTTGAAAAATAGGTAAGGCTCAATACAAGAGTTGATTTGGCGACTAGCTTCTAGAACATACCTATTTCTGTGCCAAACCAATAAATTTCAATAAAGCAACTATTTTTAGGCCTTCATGAACGCAATTTTTGACAATAATTAGAAAACTTGAAATTAAGTTAATTTAAATAAATTTATTTTTATTATTTTTTTTTAAATCTCTCTTGGCGAAAAATTTTTTTTTTGAACAACATCCTTAACACTAATATTATTAATTTCGTTTCTGAAAAATAATTAAACAAATTTTAACTAATATTTCATAAGCTTTCAGTATAAAACTTAAATTGAATGGTAATTTTAGGAAGTTTAATGGTAATTTTATTAACTGATGCAACAAATTTTGAGTTTCTTTTAACATATGTTATATGACTGGCAATTGCGCTAGTAGTAAGGCTCTAATTTATTTTGCAGTTCTTTATTTTAAATTGTTCTAAACTAAACACGTTCAAACGAGTATTATAATTGCACTTTTCCCCTTCACAACTAAAGAAAATAAAATTATCATGAAACCCGATGATATTTGTTACGAACTGCAACCGTAACTCCTTATGCTGTCGAACTGCAACCGTAACTCCTTATGCTGTCGAACTGCAACCGTAACTCCTTACGCTGAAGCAGATATGTATATGTACTCAGGCAAGGAAGTCGAACTTTCTCATCATCACTGAACTTGTAGACATTTCATTCATATTTCATTTTCATCGTCATGATTTGTTAATTAGAACAATAAAATGTTCTATTGTTATTCAAATTGGCTGTCGTCATTAGATATTTATCATTAGGTATATTGACGCCAACCCCGGACCTATATATAGAAAAGGTTGGTCGTACTGCTTATACATATAGAACATAGCAAGGTAAGTGATACCTTTCAATGATTCATTTTGGAAGTTCGTAGTGGGACCTTCATTCAAAAGTAACAATATTGATGAAACATATAGATATGAAGCATCTAAACATCATAACTTTTTAAATATTAACTATTTACTGTTAGATATTATACATTAAATATAATTGTGTTAAATATTATACTCGTATATTAAACTAATACAATAAATACAAAATTCTTCTCTTTCTTTAAACTGGCATTTAATCACTTTAAGCCTATTTTAAGAGATTACAAGAAAATCAAATTCAATTTCGCTTAGTCTTCCTTGCAATAGAAAAAGAAGTTAATTTGTTATACAAACAAATCAATTTAATACATTATAAATTAATAAATTTGTTAAGATAACCAGATTTCTTCGAACACGAGGGAAAAAATGCTTACAATCCAAGGATAGCTTCTGTAATCTTCAACTACTTCTCCATTAATAACACGCCCTTCAAGGATCTCAGATTCACCACAAGCTGTAAGATTTAAATTTTTAAAAAACTAATTAAATTCGCATTTTTTTATTATTGTTATTATTATTTTTTAAAATTTTGCAGTGGGCAAAGGCTAGCAGCCATTTAAATTACTACAATTTTATAACATTTTATTTTCCATTTAATGCTTCGTGCTGTATTTAACTTTTATCCTCTTTCGGGGCGGGGCGATTCATAAAAGCATTCGTATAAAATCAGAATCATGATGGAAAGAAATAAAGAGTGGTAACTTAAATGCTAGTTAATTTGACAAACATTATTTTGCTTTCTCTTTAATCAATGTTCTTCTAAATATATATCTCTTGCAATGTTAGTTCAAAGCGTAAGTATATAATTTTTATTTCGAACTAAATAGTGGAGATTTAAATAAATCAAACTGTTATAATCCACTAGTAACTGCTCAAGAATTAGTTTGGTTACCAGTTTTATTTTTTTACGATTGATAACGTTTCATGCCGTGAAAGAGTTAACATACGACTCCTCTGTTACGAGGTTCAATCTGAAAGTAAAGTATCTTTTAATGCAACTAAACAAAACCGAATGATATCAGCACCCAACTTTGCTTAATAACAAGATAAGTACACTATGTGCCACACACAATAATAAAGAGTTACTATTAAATTAAGAGGCGTTATATCGTGGTAAAAACCCTTCATGGCAAATTCTGTTTTGCTTCCATTGGCAATTAAAAATTTTAGTAATTAAAATTGTGAGTTAAGGTAAACTAAAAATAAACCATGACGATTCAAGTATGGAAACTTTTTTTCACAATTTGTACAAACTATAAAAGCATTGCTTCTGAACTGGGTAATCCTGTTTAATCTTGCAATGATTTATTTGCCTTATTGATATTTTGGAAAACATTTTTTAGCGTTTGAAAATTCATAGTTTACTCTTTGTTTGTTTACATGAATTCTCTTTTCTCCATTGAAATTATGAATGGAGATGAAACAGAATTTGCCATGAAAGTTTTTACCTTCACGGCAAATATAGCGATATATCGTCCCTTTAAGAATAAAGTATAAAAACGTTGCCTATTTCTCTTAGTTTTAAAATTTAATTTTTATGCTATCTATAGTAAATTGCACAGCCTTCGTTTTTTATGTTATTTTCTTTATTCATATTTTTTATCTGTAGCTTAAAAGTTTTAATAATTTTCTGTCTTCTTTTGTGTTACTGCTAGTTTTCTGCATGATGTTTATTCCGCTCCGTGAATACAAGCGATATAAATTAGATAATGTTTATTTAATTCTGCACTGTAAAACATGAGTCATATTTGAATTTATAACTAAATTTAATGTGATAGAATTTTTAAAAAAACTCACGACATTCATTGTAATGTCTATGATGACTACCATGGTGATGTTTTATGTGGTGCGCTTTTCCTTTTACCTGAAAAAAATATGTATAAAGCGAAATAAATTTGATTTAAAAAGAAATTATACCTAATGATACGTACGTTTAAAAATTTAAAATATAAAGCAAAATAAATTTTATTTTAAAAAGAAATTATGCCTAAAATAGTGTACGTACGCTTAAAAATTTCTTATATTTATAACTTATTATTATTATTTATTTCATTTTTATTTTATTTATTTATTTATTTTTGTTTTGCTATGCGAGTGAAATTGTGTTTCATTTCTTAAAAATCATAGCAATAATTAAGAATACTGTTTTCCACTCGAGCAATAGTTCATAGAATTTTTTTTAGCAAATAAAAACGTTTATAAATTTTGTCAAAAAAACAAAGTTGTCAAATCTACATATTTTTTTTTTATATATATATTTCTAAAGTCTTCTAAATTAGTTTACAATCCATGAATTTAAACATTTCATATCAGAAGAATAAATATTTCACACCTAATTTTTAATGTTATTTTTCTTTTAAATAAATAAATAAATACATGCAAAAAAAAGAATAGAAACTGTCAAATGTATTAAAGATATAGAAATCAAAAAAGGAAATTGAAATTCTGCTTAACTTTCGAATTTCATGAAAACTAAATATGCAGTTACTGCAAACAAAAAAAAATATTTTTTCAGAATTAATAACTATTTAGGATGGCGAAAGAAACAAAAAGAAAAAGAGAAACATAAAAATAAAAAAAATAGTTAAATAAAAGGACACTGGGGCATTTCTGGTCAGTAAAACCGATACCTATATGCAGAAGAGAAATTCCTTAAATTCTAGGAAGGAGATGATGCACTCTAACTAAACATTTTCCAAATTTCTATTTATTTATTTTTAATGACACAAGCAATATCATATGGGGAAATAAAAAATAATAATACAATAACTCAGCAGTTCCGGTGTTTATAAATGGTGAATAAATGAAATAATTTCAGAATATAATGAGTTTATTTCCCGAAATCAGAAATGAAAACTTACTTATCTGTTTTCCTAGAACAAACTAGAAGGGCAAACTATTTCAAATCTAATGTATATGAAGAAGCTCAAACTGTTGAAATACTTTCATGATATAGTACTAAATTTTATATTCAGAAATAAAAACTTTTTTTTTAATCCGCTAAACTTTTTTTGGAAATGAAGCAAATTTAATTCTGTGTTAAGAGCTAAATAATTAATTTTAGAAATAAAAGACAAACAAGAAAAGAAATTTAATTAGTTACATGCTTTATATTGAATTTTTATTTTCAAAATATTCAGTGGCCGGACAGCCCTAACTCCTCTTTTATTATCTCTGGAAAAATGCTTTGATTTGTTTGTCACTAATTTGTACGTTGTTCATCATTAATAATGCATACAGTGGATGGCATAAAATGAATTGTATAATTATACACTTAAAGTAAATAAGTTTTTTATACTTACACTTATTAATATAGTTAATGATAAGGTAATACGTAAAATATACATATTTAAAAAAGGTTTTAGGGTATAAAAGCTTTGGAATAAAAGTTGGTAAGAATTGTATTATAATTTTGTTCTACTCTCATATGTCAACATTCAACTGTCGGAATTCACTGGAAAATCATGCTTCATTTCCATGTACTATCGTTAAAGGTTATTTCACCCACTCCATTCATTTTAAGCATTATTATTTAAAATTTCTTGGAACTATTTTTGTTGACAGTGGCATTGAATATTAAATGATGTTTAAGTGCTCGTTTAAAAAAATAAACAATAATTCACTTAGAAAAAATTTTTACGGTTAAAATTATGAAACAAGTAATAATTTTGAATACCTAAACAATAGGTGGAGTAAGATTCATTCTGTTNAGGTTAACGCTGATTTCCAGCTGACGGCGTCCTGTCCTAAGAAACCAGGCCTTAAGGCTGTGCTAGCACTTCTTCAATCGTTGTCGATCCAAAGCTACTGTTCTCCAATTTCTGTCACATAACACACCAAGTCATTTTTCTACATTTTGCCCAGCCTCGAGATGACTGTTCGATTTTTTCTTCCTGATGGTGACAGAGAGTTTGCCAAAATTCTGTTCCCTAATGCAGGATTGGAGACTTCTAATCTTAGCAGGGGTCCAAACCATATGCTTTAAGGATGTGGACAATGTTGGACTCTTTAAATTTGTTGTGGAGTTCTATACATTCTCCAATGTTATTTCCGATCAGAAAGTCAAAAATTTTCCTCTAAATTTTTCTTTCAAAGATCAGCAGTTTACCTTCTGTAGCCCTAGCAAGTGGGTGATTCTTTGGAAACATATGACAATTCGGAAGAAAACAATTTCAAATTTAAAGTCTTCGAAATATTCTAATTTTTTTTGTATATTTATTTAGTTTTATTCATTAATATCTTACAGACAGCAGTGTAGTTTCTTGACATTTGCTCACATTTAGAAAAATAAATAAATAGAAATTCACCAAATTTTGACTGCCAGGAAAATGACATATTAGCTCGGAAGTTAAGAAAACAGTCATTTTAAGCTAATAGTAAGTAACTCAACTTAAGAAACTCAAAAAGACAACGTTGAAAAAGTTAATTTTAACTCGTTTCTTCTCGGCATCTTTTTTTTTTCTCAGTTAATTTTTCCTTGCTTGTTTTTAGGTCTCATGTTTTAAAATAGCCTATTAAAATTAATTTTATAATGATTTACATCAGAGAATTTTTTTTAATTATATTATTTAAATTTAAAATATTTCAAATCTCTTTATTTTATAACTTTATTACATTTCTTAATGTATACACTCATGTAGAGTTTAAAGACTATGTCACAATCACACCATGTTATTAGGCTACTAAATTGATGAAAATAATCATATAAATTTTTAAAAAAATTTATTAAAATAATTCTTTTTGTTGCAAATTTTAAGATTCTTTTTCTGGAAAGTGATAACTTTCAACACCTCAATTTTTTTCTCATACTATTAAATTATTATTTTTCAGTATAATATTTTTTTTTATCTTTGAAGAAATAAGAAGTGGTCTTTAGCCAATATATTTCCAAATTTCTTACAGCACAAAAACAAGGTTTTTCAATCTCAATTTTTTTTCTCGTAATATTAATGTCATATTTTTCAATATAGAAGAAATCAAAAGGATTCCTTTTGTTTTCCGGCATTAAAAAATGGTTTTTAGTCAAAATATTTCAAGATTTTTAATAGCAAGAAAATAGTTCCTTGACCTCAGTTTTTATTTCCATTTAGTGTTAAATGTTATGCTTTTCAATATAAAAAATATCCGTGAAGTTTTTTTTTTTTGGTCATTAAAATAATACGTTTTTTTTAGCTCAAATATTTCAAAACTTTTTAAAAATAAAATAAAAATGTTCCCCGATCTTAAACAAACTGAAAAAAAAAAACACCCTCTTAATTTTTATACTGAAAAATATAACATTTAACGATAAAGAGAAAAAGAAAATTGAGGTCAAAACTTTGTTTTTGTGCTATTAAAAAATCTGGAAGTATTTTGGCTAAAAACTTCTTTTAATTTTTTTAATGACCAAAAACAAAAAACCCCCTCATGATTTTATTATATTTTACATTATGCGAACCAAAATTGAGGTCAAAAAGTTTGTTATTGTGTTATAAAAAATATTTTTTAAAGTACATTGGTTAAAAACAACTTTTTTTTCTTTATTGATCAAAAAAAAAAAAAACTCTCGCTCTTGATTTTTTTTTTATATTAAAACATATCGAAAGTGCCGAATTTTAAATGTTGTTAATTTACTCAAAATATTTGGAAAACTTATTCATTTTTAATTTTGTATTTTAATTTTAACGATCATGAAACCAACTAGAGAATTGTTTCAAGAAAAATTGTTTCTAGAATTTTTTTCACGTATTTCTAATTTTAAAAGTTAAAAAAAAATCGCAAAATTTTAGACGCAATACAAATTTTTGCAGAAAAAAACTATCAAGATCTGCAGGTATATGAGATTAAAAAAAAAACGCTTTCTTATAATTGTATTTGCTAAATAAAATCAAACCTCGTTAAAACGAAATCGAAAGCAACAGAAATCTATTAACCAATAATACAGCGAAAGATATTTAAAATGATTTCAAAGAAGAAAATGAATTAATGCGAAACTAATATTGTTTTGTAAGATAACGTGATAGGAATTGTAACTGCTTTTCTTCGTCCTCAAAAAAAAAAAAAAAAAAAAAAAAAAAAAAAAAAAAAAAAGTTGTAGAGTTTTCACTTGTTTACTCCAAAACCTAAATTAGAAAATTGTAATTTAACAAAATGTTAGCACGTTAGCTCAAAGTTTTATTAGTTAATCGAACTTATATTTTTCTTCACAGACCTCTTATTTTATGTTAGGAAATAATATATACTAGTGAGCTGCGCCCCCTGCTCGCCAACCCCAGAAAATTGCTTCGCAAACCAAGCTCGCTTCGCTCGCTACTAACTTAGCTGCATTGCAAATGCACAAAATTCTAAGAATTCAAAACAATCATTCAAAACCATATAACAACTTTTTTTAAAAAAAAAATTACATCTTTTTAGTAAATACTAAATCATTAAAATAAATTTGAATTCAAATAAAGACTCATTGATTGAGACTCATTTTTCAATGAATAACTAATAATAATAATAAAACAAATAAATTCGTGATATAAATCAAAAATCGTCAAATAAATTCGCAATATATAAATTCGTGGAAAAAAGCGCTTTCGACAAAATACTAAAATAGAGATCTATCGACAAAGACTACTCACTTCTGCCTAGCTTAATAGTATGAGATTGACGCACCTGAATTGTTATTTCAGTTTCCGTTTTTAAAAGTGCTATATGTTGAGCCACTTCAGTCAGATTTGGCATGTGCCATTTTTAGCGGCAATCATTGGTCGATTTTCTAGCGTTGCCATTCGGGGAGTTGTAATGAGGCTTTTTCTTGTCGCCTTGTAAGAGAAATATATATATCGATAATTTATTTGGATATTCAAAGTAATTATTAAGCTATAAACTTTTAAATTTATAACTTAATAGTTATTACTTTTCATCTTGAATAAGTTGACAAGCTCTACTCCAAAAAGGATAGGATATAGGGTAAGGATAGGTGCTTCGTAGAATAAAGCAAAAGAAAAAAAAAGTGAATAAAACACAAATGTAAATATAAAAACAGAAAGAAAGCACAGAAGCTTTACTCAACTGAACTTACTTTTGGCAACTGAAGTCGAAATTCTATCTTTTGAGTGATAAATTTCTAGGATTCTTCATAACTTTGTATATTATAAATATTTTTAAGATAGCAATTTGTTTACCGAAATAGAACTGTAACAAGAATTCAAAAATCGAAGAAATTGAAATTTAAAAATAAATCAGCGATTATATTCGTTATAGCATTTCAGCGAAATTTTTGAGTTTTCTTACAAATTTTTCTGCTTAAACTTATATTTTTAATAATTTGTGCCTCTGCTAACAAAGTGATTTCGACAAAAATTCTTTTATATGTTCCAAGCGAAAAGTTAACTGTATCAAAAATTCAGTCTTGCAGCAACACATCGGATGTTGGAAATTTTTCTTAGAGCTCAATGTTATTATTTGCTCATTATACTTTTTCTTATAAGTTTCATACAGCTTTTTTTTAAAGATTTTTGCAGATTATACAAATTTTTATAATTTAAAAAACTTTCCTTTTAATATAAAGTGTAGAATTATAATCTATATATTAGAACTATAATCGCTTATCACCTTGAATATGTTGACATATTCATATGCGTCTATTCCAAAAAGCATAGGGTATACGGTATACTCTGTGCTATGTAGACTAAAGCAAAGAAAATAACGTGCATAAAGCATAAATGAATCCACATAGTTTAAAAAAATTTAAAAAAAAAAAAAGGAACAATTTTCAATAAAAATAAAACAAAACCACGATTTTTTTTTTTAAATATGTGTTCTATTTTTATTCAAGTTTTATTAGATTTTTATACACTCAATTTAAATTAAACTTCAGTAATTTTCTTCAGTTAGCACTTTAAGCTCTAAGTTAATTACACGAAGCTGAAAAATTCCTTAATTATAATCAGAAATTCAAACAGTAACTATGCGCCTAATTACATTTTTTAAATAATTTTGAGGTCCCGCCGTGGACTGATCGTTAAGACACGGTTCCCAGAAGATCACCGAAGGCAAGCATCACTGGCTGCGCTCAGTGTGCGGGTGGGTGACCACTTGGATCAGTCTGCGTAGGGACCGAGGGTGTGCGGTATGGGTCCTCGTTAAACTGTTCTACCGTTAAGTGCTCGACTTCGCGTGTAGGTCGTCTGGCTGCCGAAGCAGGGGTGCCATCCCCTCTGAAGAGGATCAAAATTGCGATGGCATGTCTTCGGATCATCCTCAGGGATGTTCCCCCGACCGTCGCTCGCCAGTAGCCCATTGTGCAGCTCTATTGCGACGTAAATGAACTACAACAACATCAACAACAATAATAAATTTTGAGAACAAAAAAAAACAAGTCAAATATTTATTATCATTCAAACTATGATATTTATAATTTGGACAATACACTTCTCAAAAGTCTAACCCACAAGCTCTCATGTTCTCTGGTTCCTTCACCCATCCATGAAGGACGATCTTGGTTCTGATCTCTCGGTTCCGGTCTCTGACCTAATCTCTGGTAGGGTCTTGGATCTGATCTCTTGTCTGATGTTTGTGGATCTGATTTCTGAGCTTCTTCGACTGTTTCAATTTGAATTTCAATCGAATACGGAGTACTTTCACCCAATTGATCTTTCTGACTGCCCCATCCCATACTAGCAGCTCGTCTTAAGTCGTCACTCAATACCTGTGTAGATGCATCTGTGTGTGGAGCGCCAAAGGTTATCGATTCGTTCTCGATTCTATGAGATATTACACGCACGAGGTCTCTGAAAACAATAAAGTCCACATTTTTTCCGAGTTGATACAAAATGAACCAATCGCCAAACGAAGCCTCTCGAACTAAAGTGCGCATATCTTCCTCACGATCATACCCATATACAGAACACAGATAATTTACTCTGGCGGGTCGAATAAAAAATAACATGATAAATAAGAAAATTGAGCCTAATGTCAACAGAAAAAGAATGCAAAACCAAAACCAAAAAAATAAGTAAATTTTGTCATACATGTTATTCAAAGCCACGACACAAAGTACAGAGCTTTTCTCAATATTTGTCGGATCAGATGCAAACTGGTAAAATGTGCATGATGTGATTCGTGGAAACACATCTAACATCGGATCAAATTTCCCACCATAAAAAAAATATTGACAAGAGAAGATTCCATAGGTAAAGAAATTTTGATCTAAAAGTTCATCGAGTATAAAAGCTTGTACAACTAGATTCAAAAGACACAAAACTTGACAAATGAAGTATTTTCTTGCATACCAATCATATCTGTTCCAGCTACTGCTAAAATAGTCGGCTAAGATATGTATTTTTTGTTCTTTTTCACGTTCTTCCATTCGACCAACTTTAAGATCCGTCGTCAATAATCTTAATGTACCACCTTCCCAGGAAACCCACAGCAACTTGGGTACGTAAAACATCGCTGCTTGAAAGAGAAGTAAAAATATTACCCACTGATAAAAGTGCATATATTTCACTGGTTTTTCCTCTGGATTTGTTCTATTATTCCATACCTAGTAAAAAAATTCACTTTTTTTAAGATACAAAGTAGAGAAAAAGGAATAATAACAAAATTATCGACTGGGTTTTTAATTTTATTTTATAACTGGCGTTGTGAACAGTCAATCCAAATATGAGTATACGACAATGTTCAACTCCCTATCCTTATAATTTTAAACCCAATACAGACGACAAAGGAACTTCTGGATCAAGTATTGGGGGAAATTGCCTTCGTGAAGGGCTTTTAATGGAGCTAATCCGCATTCTTGCTACATGGATACGAAATCCTCCTACAGTTAGCCTGATAGCAAAGGGACTCTAACCCATGATCCGTCTATTGCTGAGGATATTTCTCTCAGTGTTGTGGTCGGTGTGATTCTGGTGCGGAATTCGTATCGACCAGCCATCACTGTGGTTCGAACCCGTGTCGCGTAATTGGAAGGCAATCGCTCTATCCCCTAAGCCACCACTGGTATAGAACCAATGCATCTTTTGTATGAAATATCGCGAAATACATACCACCAATGTGATAATTTTTACTTAACGTAGTTGAAGCGCCTAGCCGAAGATTATGTTAAGTAGCTTTTTAGATACTTTGAGAACTTTTCCAAGCTTTCACGGGAACACCTCTCGACACCAGACTAGACTCATGTGCTAGCGGTTACTGTGGTTAGGAAAATAAATAATTTTGAATAGAGAAGTGGACAGCTGTTTCACATTAGTTTAGATTGGGAGATTCAGTCCATATAAGTTGGTATAGGCCGGGATAACCTGGGCGGTAGGGCGCTGGGCCCATGTCCAAGAGTTCACGGGTTCGATCCCCGCCGGCCGAAGACTTCCCGCGTTGTAAATGGTGACTGATGCACGTTAAATCTGTCCAGTAGCAAAGTCCTCCGTGTTCCCATAACAAATCAATACATCTGGGGGTACTGATACAAGAGTTTCCTAGTCTTCTGGATTGGTTCAGAATTACAAGGATACGCAGTTGAACATTAGTAGTCGTAAACCCAAAAATTGGGTCGGCTGTTCACTGACGGATATAAAATAAAATAAATAGCGTACACGTGTGTGTAGGCAGAGCCAGTAGAGAAACACGCTTTATAAGTTAAGACGCACGTAAGTTAAGACGCATTTCGTTCGCTAGCACACCTCGGCAAATTTCTTAGTACTATTTTGCAGCAATAGGTTAAATTTAAATTGTAACAGTAAGAATGACGGATGAAAACGTTTAGATGAAGGAATGAGGAATTGTGGGGAGGCTAAAAACAGGCCAATATCAGGTCCAGATTTGTAGAGAGTTCAATTTAACCTACAGCGTCGTGTGCAACCTGTGAAAACAGTTTCAGGATACCGGATCTATCGAGAAAAAGCCTGGGAAAGGTCGTCTAAGAGCCATGATGGCCAGAGAAGATCGCCATTTGTCCATTATAGCGAGGCGTAACAGAGGAGCTACAGCTTTTCAACTCTCTCGTGACCTGTATGCAGACATAGTATCAAGGGTGACTGTTTCCAAACGACTTCATGAGAGAGAGTTGTTTGCAAGAAGACCTGCTGTTTGCGTCCCGCTTACTTCTTCGAACAGGGTACTCTGTTCAGTATGTTGCAGAAAGCATAGAGATTGTTTTATGGATCAATGGGCGACCGTTCTCTTCACAGAGGAGTCCCGGTTCAGCCTAAACACCGTACGTTCTTATCTCGCCGTACGTTCTTATGGAGAGAACCAGAGACTCTCTACCTACCCTCCAATGTCCACGAAATTGACCATTATGGCGGAGCATGTTTAATGGTCTCGGCAGGCATCATGTTGGATGGCCGCGCACCTCTCCATATCTTTGAAAGAGGCTCTGTGACTGGTGTGAGGCATAGGGATGAGGCCTTGGAGCCCTATGTTTGCTTTTTCAGGGGTGCAATTGGCCTTGAGTTCATTTTAATGGACGATAACGTAAGGCCACATAGAGCTCTCCCGACTGACGAATTTCTAGAGAGTGAGGATATTCGCCGGATGGATTGGCCAGCCAGATATCCAACCATCAACCCTATAGAGCACGTTTGGGAAGCTCTGGGGAGGGCAATTGCAACTCGCTGCCACCACCTCTGAGAACCATAGCCTAAAGTTAAAGCACGCAAACTAGTCCGAATGCTGTCATATTTTGATTGACATGACAATAAATTACAGTAGGTAATATTAAGGCGTTAAACCGTGTTTGCAGCGATCGGAAAACGAAAACGATTGAAACTTCTAACGTCATCAAACCTAGAACTCTAGTGGATATTTCAGCCGTCTTATTGTTTGTTGAAATTTTGTTTGACGATGAGTTCTATTTGGAGACAAAATGGCATTAATTTGTAGGGTCAGGATTCGGTTCAAACTTGCATTGACTTCAGGCACGAAGCTTCATGAGATATTTGAGTGCTCTAGAAGCTAGACTCTAACTTCCTTACAAAAATTCGAGTCTAGCTTGTAGAAAGCGGTCAAAATTTTGATTTAATAATTTCAGTCACAAAATCTCACTAGGGAATTAATGAAAAAAGTGACAATTAATTAAAACTTACTGTAATGTTTAAGTGTTCTGGCTTTGTATACCTTGAATTCATCCAACAATACGTATTTATAACATCTTCTGGTACTGATAGTAGTGCTCCTCTGGTACATTCAATGTGGTCTCCAGCTAACTCTCGTACAGATACCAATATTGTGAAAAGCAAAATAACGAATACTGTATAAGTGTGATGCAAGCGGAATATTGCGTTATCAATTTTGACCTTTTCTGTTTGTATGGTATCTGTATCTGTAATTCTCTTTTTGGCATTCATTATGTTCATACAGAATTTTTTTAATAGATTTGTATTCAATTAATGCCTTGTAAGTATTATTACATAATTCTTGGATGATATTTATTAAATTCACCACCTCTTTTTTTCACAATTTAAGTGCTGATTTCAGTTACTATGCTAAAACTCGATGATATGGGTGCAAAGTAGGTGCTGAAACCAATTCCCTATAATGAAGAAACAAAATTAAAATGAATTATTTAGTACAGTGGGTGCTAACAAATAGCAGATTCAAAGCCTCCTTGTCCCGCAGAGGACTGATCGTTAAGACCCGGTTCCCAGCAGATCACCGAAGTCAAGCATCACTGGCTACGGTCAGTGTGCGGGTGGGTGACCACTACGATCAGTCTGCGTAGGGACCGAGGGTGTGCGGTATTGGTCCTCGTTAAACTGTGCTACCGTAAAGTGCTCGACTTCGCGCGCAGGTCGTCGGGCTACCGAAACGGGGGTGCCATCCCCTCCGCAGAGGATCAAAATTGTGATGGCATGTCTTCGGATCATCCCCCGGGATGTTTCCCAGACCGTCGCCAATAGCCCATTGTGCACTATAGGGCGACGTAAATAAACAACAACAACATCAAAGCCTTCTTAGGAAAAAAAACACGTTAGCACAACTGGCACCACAGAAAATTAAGCATCGCTCCCCTTAGTACCCGTTTACACGAGGCCTGACATCAGACGCATGTCGTCACGAAAAATAATTCCTGAAAGAAAGCCTAATTTGATCACTAGAATTGAAAGAGCCTCTTAACTGTTTCGTTTTCTCAGTAAATATTTGCCTCAACATTTATTATTATTCGAAGTCAGGAAAAATGTCCAACTGGTTCTGTTACGCAACAAGCCCTGCCCTGAGACGAACAAGTACGTTTCAAAACCGATATTTGTTTAGATTTCAGACAAAGTTGAAGCAAATATTTGTGTTTGGCTCCAAGGTCGGTTATCAGTTTACTTCGCTGCGTCACAAAATGAAAAGTTGATTACTTATCCTTTTTCACTCCCGATTCTTCTACTGCCAGGCAGGGTCGTACTCAAAGAGAGGAAATCAGGAATGTCCATGCTGTCCAATCTCTGTTCGATTCGATGTGCAGAAGAATAACTATTGCTCTGAGTACTGATTCCTCAGGATCCATACATCCAAATATCCTGAAAATTTAACCACTTGTTCTTCCAACTATAATGTATGTGCCCAATAAATATCATTCTGTTATTTGCATTCCTTCCTGGTGTAGCAATTTTAAAGGCTAGTATATATATATATATTCAACGTTACTACACACCTGACAAGTTTATGGATAATTATTTGATGATTCATATTAGATTGTCTAAAGATTTAATTTAATGATTATTTTGCTCTGATACGAAGCATCACATTCTTGGTAGAAAACAAAATTTTATAAACTGTCCTCTCCGTGCACGCCGCCACACAGCAAAAGGCATTCAGCTGTTCTGCTCTAGGGCCCTATAATTTTTTTATGTCAGCTTGGCGATAATTTCATTCGCCACAAGTTCTTGGCAGACTTTGTAATAAATATATCGCACCACGACAAGAAAAGTGTCTTAACTCTACAATGCTGCATATTTGAGAAAAATCAACTTAAAGAATACTATAACTCTTATTCTGAATTAGACACAACTGCCCTCAGCTGGATAAATTGCGAGTTAGAGATGTGACACTTTTTGAGCTTGATGGGGCACTTCATACATATTTTTATAGGCATAACCTCAAAATTGCTGTTTTTTGACTTGTGTCTCTTAGGGTGCGATATGTGTAGTTGAGAGGATGAGTTCGTTCTAGATAATGTAAAAACAATATATCTAAATAAAGGGTTTATTAAAAATAATAATAAACCCCAAATAGAGAAGTTGAAACAATATAAAGGACAAGAGCAGATTGATTATTTTTAACGGATCTAAACGTTTTCAGCTATTTTTGTTTCTAAGACGCAGTTAAATCTTTCAACAATATTTTTTAAACAAATTGACTTATACGAAACAAAATCAATTATTTTTACTAAACAGAAATAGCCTTACCAATTCAATGTTTCCTGTTAAACTAAAAGGTTAAATAAACTTATTAACCTCCAGAGAAATTAATTAAAAAACTTTCCGTATATTTTTTATATACATTTATAAAATACTTTGTTGTGATAAATGATAAAAACATACTTATGTTAACTCATAAATTTATTACTTTCATTTAAATTGTCAATTAAATATTTGACCCAAACCTCATTTGCTGTTTTTATACTTATGCTAAGTTATCGTCTACAAGATTACCACTGCTATATAAACTGTTATTATTGTAACGTTTCTTCAGGAAATGTTAAAGGAGGTTTACTTTCGTACTTTTCGTTGAACAGCCTTACAGTTGAAACAACGTTAAAAGTTAGCGTTACATACGTTTACGTACCGTAAACGTTTCTTCCTTTGCAGCACGTTGACATACTTTTAGTAATTTTACCTTCCATAATGTTCTGAGAAAATTTATTTTGTGAGGATAGACGCTTTTTATTTAAAGAAAAACGGAAATCTGAAAATATTGAACAAAATTACCTTATTCACAAAAAATCATTGATACAAAATTTTTTAAGGAACAATTAGCAAAAGGTAGTTCCTGATTCGTCAGGAAAATTAACAAATTCTATGTTAGAAGAAAGTAATAACACCCACTCCTTGAATTTCCTTCTGCAAAGTGCTTTTAAGGATATAATAATTTTTTTTTTTGAAAAAAAAAGATTATTATTTTATGGAAAATAAAATAGAAATAATTTTTTCTCCCAAGACGTTGGATTCTTAACTCCCTAAATATTGAGAGGGTTCGAACCTCTTGGACACCCATGTGACCCTGTTGCGACTCCCATATTTTCAGCCGTGTCCATTGTCTTACTCGCATATCTTAAGATGCGTCCTTTTTCTAAAAACATATTTTGTGTTGTGTACATTTTCTTAAATCCGCCTTTCTTAGCTGTATCCAATTTCTTAAATTCGTATTTTGAGCTGTTTCCATTAAAAAAAGCTCATTGACAAAAAATATTTTCCTAACTATTGAAATCCAATCGGTGTTTAAGAGAAAATCTAAAAAAGAGGGTTTTCGCATGGTAGTTTTGCAGGTCCTTAGAACTTGTATTTTATGTTCATTTATTTGCTTTCTCCAGAATGAAGTTTTTCGTATATATTCTTTTATAGTTTTCCCCGAAAAGGTTAGTATTTAAACTATTTTGTTTCCTTGGAAAAATGTTTTCGCTTTGTGTTTCCGTTTACCTTATCATGATAACCAACAAAAATACAAAAACGAAGTTTATCATCCGATTTTTTTTTGACCTTAACGATAATATTTTTTAAAAAAGCTTAAGAAATAATTTTTTTATGCTTTTAGGAAAAAAGAAAAACGTTTTAGGAAAGGAAAACGTTTTTGCGACAATAAGCAGAAAATTAAGACGCAGGGTTGCCGTAAGGTTACATGCTTTCTGGGATGATTTCCAAGTTTCGAATTCGTATAGGTTTTTTGAAGCAAAGCAAAATATATGGTTAAGTTGAGCACCCAAAACAGCAGCTGCCCTGATGTTTTTTAACTACAGAGAGAAGACGAAATTGCTTGAAGAGAAGAGAGCAAAAATTGCTTTTGTCCTTCAGTAAACCCAAACTCTAGCTACGCATCTGATCCCGACAAACAAGCAGACAACAATAGTTAAAAAAGTAAATAACAATATTAAATCAAAAATATAACTTAACATTGCAACAAAAAGGTATTTTATACAATTTCGAAAATGACAGCGAACCTCGCAAAAATTAAATAAAAACAATTGCGAATGGAGCCGGCAAACTCTTAGGATCTAGCATATGCGCCAAGAAAGCGAATGAAAAAAAAATCCCCAATATTTACAGTATCTTTCCCTATTTTTACTCTTCTATCCGTATGGATGGTTGACTGAATGTAAACAATAACAAGCTTCCTAAAAACGAAGGAAATTTAGAAAACTTCCAGTGTATCTCTTCACTTTTGTTATGCTTGCGAGTTAATGTGTAGAACAGGTCTAGTGTTCTAGGAAGTTCTATTAATGTGCTTATGTTTAAATTTGCTTGCAATTTTACCATCCATTGGAGTTTCCTAGTCCTAACTGGTTATGAACTTAAAACAAATTAAAGATTAATATCATAACGAAAAAAAAATGCGTGAGGTTTGACATGTTTTAAGTGTTATCCCTTATTTGGTTACATTCTTTCAAATTTTTATGTTGTTTGCTTCCTTGAAGAATAAATTCAAGCTTAGGCGTAAAAATCAATCGGAAGTAGTAACCCGGAAGTCTTGCGATGAATTTTGACCATTAGCGCCATCTGTGCTTGCTTGTATATTAAACGCTTTCGGTTACCTATTTCTGTTAAAAAGTGTTAACTTTTTTTATTTCAAACTTAGAACTAAAAAATGGCAGCATTCATGTGAGCAAATGTAAATAAACAAAGAATGTGTTTGACGTGAGATGTCACCGGTTCTCATAATTATCATTGAAAAAAAAATAACTATAGGCTTTGAATCTTATCTAATGATAATCACATTGAAAATTCAACTTTTTGTAATTATTTTTTCAAGATGCATTATAATATTTAGCTGGCGCTTACATTGTTCAATTATGCTAAAATGAAACTATTTTGAATCAAAAAATTTGTTCTAATATTTATTTTAGAGTAATAACTGTGATGAAATTGAAATATGCATTTTATTTACATAATTTTCTGCCTCTTGCGCCTCATTCTAACTTTATTTCCGGAGTTTGGTTACATCCACCCTGATGAATTTTTTCAAGGTCCAGAAATAGTTTATGGTAGTTACCACATTTTTCATTCAAAAAATTATAACTGTAAAATAGCTTGCATTAATACCTTATTTTATTTTAGGTGATTTACTTCAAATAAAAACTCTAAAAACCTGGGAATATACATCATCAAAGCCTGTTCGAAGTGTTATATTCCCCTTCCTCACCACTGGTTTCACTTGCTTAATTGCTGATTCGACAGGAATATTTTCCTCAGTATTTGGACAATACTTACACTCGTATTTATTGCTTGTATTACCTAGATTATTTATGCTTTGTTTGTCTTTCATAACTGATCTTCTAATTTTCAGAATTTGTAAATTAGAACAACAAAATCCAAGTGACTGTTTAATAATGTATGCATCATCCTATGTAACTTTAACGTATTTAATAAGACCTCTATCTAACAGTTTAGAAATGTTATTTTTTAGCGTTTTATCATTTATTATTTTTAAGAATTTAAAATATTTTTCACTTAATGCTTCAGTGATTAAAAATGCAAACAATTGTTTCAAAACATATTTTATTACAGGTCTGATACTTGGATTTGGAACATTTAACAGACCAACATTTTTAGCTTATTCTTTTTTTCCAATTATATGTTTATTTTTTAGCAATAAAAAAGTGTCATTTCATGAATTTAGTTGCAATTCAATTTCTTTTCTTTTCGGTGCTCTGTCATCCTCAATATGTATTTGTTTCCTTGACACATCATACTATAATAAGTGGCACTACTCCAAAGTAAATTTTGAATACTTTAAAATAAGTAATATTATAATCACGCCTTTGAATTTTATATTGTATAATGTAAATACTGAGAACTTGAGTTCTCATGGATTACACCCTTTTTATCTACATTTACTTGTAAATATTCCATTACTTTTTTCAGTCTGTGGTTTACATTTGATGTTTATTATACTTCAGTATTTAAAGAAACTGTTAAAAAATCCATGCATTGCATTAAATATTAATAAGTATTTTATCTTTTATTCCTTATTATTTCCTCTTTGTATACTTAGTTTTGTACCACATCAAGAGCCCCGGTTTATCATACCATTATTGTTTCCTTTAATAATATTAAGTCAGCGAATACTTAGAAATAAAACATGCAGAATATTATGGTTTATTTTAAATTCCTTGTGCTTGGTATTTTATGGATTTTTCCATCAAGGTGGGGTTTACTTATCATCTTCATATTTACATGGCGTTCTACAAAATTCAAACAATACTGCTGTAGTATTCTACAAAACATATATGCCTCCAAGATTTCTGCTAGGCATTAAAAAAGATGACATTTCAATTTATGATTTTGCTGGTATGAATGAGCAAAAGTTCTTGACATCACTTCATAATCTAGAACAAAGAAACTTAGGTAACATATTTGTTGTAATTCCCTTTAGAGTATTAAAAGTGCTTGTCAATTCCACAAATATATTTAAAAATTATGTGATGATTGAAAGAAAATCGAATTTTCCTCATTTGAGTACCGAAATGCTCCCAAATTCAAGTGAATTTAAATTTCTTTTTGATAGCAATAAATCACTTTTTCTCAAAATTTTTGAACTTAAAGAAATTTTCAGTTTGCATATTCTGAATTATAAAAAAATAAAGCACATTGAATCAAATATTAGTTAAAGTTATAAAATAATAGGGGTATACAATAGGCTTCTGACTATCCGCTTTAACGTAACAGAAGTGTAGGCCGATTAGAGCAAAGTTTCGCATCCTACCCTCCTTTTTATATAATAAAAAATATATGTTTCACATTTTAAGATAAACATAAGAAAGAATGATTGATGAAAAATTATTCAATGTTAAATTAATAAACTATCCAAATGTGAAAAGTTGGATTAGGAAGAGTCAAAATATATTGATGACCAACTATTCCTCATTTTTATTCACCTCCCACAGCAAGATTTACAAATGACCAGTTCTATTATTCCTCATTTTTTACTAGACTGAATGAGCAGAAAATTGGAAGCGTATTTTATTTTTTGCATAATGATTCCAGGGATTTGTGCAAAATATTGAAAAAGATATCTCAGTGTATGATTTTGTTGTAAAATAAGTTTTTGATTTCGCATCCTATTCCTATTCTAAAGCAAGTGGACCTAGTAAACAAAAATTGTATAATTCCTTTTAGATTATTAGAATTTCTTGAGGGTTATATGTACCAATATAGGACAAATTAGGAAATTTTGCTACTGGACAGCTGTGGCAATTTTAATAGTGGCCTTTTTTTATGCTTCCTCAGTAATTGAAGATTTTTATTGATTAAAAAAATGTTGATATTAATATCATAAAGCATTTCTAAAAATATGGTAAACATTACAAGGTCCATTTCTAATGAATTGTAATTGAAGTAATGAGCGTAAAATTAAGTAATTTGCTGAATATTATAAAAATTCCATTTTTTTCAATGGAAAAAGTGGCTACTGGAAAACAATTTTTTAATCACCATTTGTTATATTTAATAGCCCTGTGGCCAGTAGTAACCCTTAATTTTGCCCTAAATCTACAGCGTGTTTAAATGTTATACAATGAATTAGAAGTAATGTTGATTTACCTCAAAATGCAAAGGAATTAAACAATTATTTGAAACTTCAGATGTTCTGATCAGTACAAAACAATTATTAAGTAAAATAGAAAATCTGATGTGTTTTTAAATTATACAAAGTTTATTTTCTTTTATTATGTTTCTTAGTTGGAATTTTAACAAAATATGACTGTGATATTAATTATGTCTTGTTTCATGTGTATGGAAATGAATATTAATAAATTATAAGATATTCAGCAATTTTGTGCTGTTGACATTTTTATTTCATAAGTGTTCATTTATTATTTTTTATTTCATCTCAGCTTTTCCTATTATTTCTAATTTTTTTATTTTATTTATTATTTTAAATTTAATAAGAAGAAGATAATCATCAGCGAGCAAAACCTAATTTAAATAACATATAAATTTTGGAAACTAAAGTAAAAAATCTTTTGTAATATTCGTATGACCTATTTTATGTGTAAGATAAAAAAAATTGATATTGAGTATAACATAAAAAAAAAAAATCATTATTATGTTTGCAAACATTTTTATTCATTATTTCAAACACGTTTTATATATTAAAACATGTCTCATACCTATTTTATTTAATACAGATGAAGCTTAATCTTTAACTTTATTGTAATCAGCTTTTTTATTTATTATTTAGCATTTTTTTTCTTTAAAAATATACATAAATAATAAAAGTATTCCTGGATGCTCATTACTTTTTAATTAAATTCAAAATTATTTTTTACTGTTAAAAAATATCTTTGACAAAATTAACTGATGTTGCAATAACATTGATCAAAAATGATTTTCCATTCATAACTTGTGCAGATAAAGACCCACTGGACTGGACTCATGTGTGTTGATTTAAATGGGAAACACGATGTATATAGCAACGAGTTAACATAATTACCTTGGAAAAAAGTATAAAGCCTAACAATCTTGTTAACTTAGTCGTCATCCGTTTTTATTATTATTAATTTTCTTAATAATATAACAGAAAAAAGTGCAAACCCTTTAAAATTTATTTTACACAATTTCAATCTTCAAAAAGGAATGACTGACTTTGTCTTTGGTGCAAAGAGGGAAAAAGTATTTCAAGTTTAAGTAACATATAAAATTAGTAGGCTAAGCATCCTGTTCATTGCTGCTCAATAATAAATAATTCATATTAATTATTGTTTCTTGGCATAAAATATTTAAGCCTATATAAGTAAGAGTTATGAAAGTTGACTTACTTAAAGTATATGGTCTAAAAAGAATTTTGTTTGTTTACATTTGTGTAGCTTACATTTGTGCTCCCACTTCTCCCGTTCAAACATTTCCCTTATAGTTCTATTAATGAACATAAATTATTTTGCTTAGTAATAATTTTTAAAATAATTATTGTTATGACAAATTTGCTGAATGTACAACTTTAATATTTTTGCTTACCAAATAGGCTGATATTTAAAATGCATGAAGCTGATCGAGTCTCTTAGTCATTTAACGAATCTTTTTAACTGTAATTTATAATACTAGTATGTAATTTGCACCAAAATATTATTATTGTAAAATGGATAATAAATTTAGCACAGCTTTTTGAAAAACATATTTTTTTTACAATAAAAATCTTGTAACAATTTTAATTTTTAATTAAACCAAAAATTTTGCAATGGCTGCCAAAATATCTCTTGAACCTCCTCGGACATATTCTGCACCTTTGCCAAGAGTGGGGGCATATAACTAGATTGTGCCATATTTTATCCAGGTGATATATTAAATGGTTTCTTTTAAATTAAATTTTAAGGCACTTATGGGGATGGTTTGCACTATGGGAAAAGTAATACAGATTTTAAATTAAAATTATTTCTAAGTGTATAAAGAATAATATTCAATTTGAAAAATAGCTTATTTTATAAAATTTTTATTTTTACAGAAATGTATTTGCACATTTACATTCCAAACAACGTATACATTTATTGTCAAAATAGTTCTATATATTAAAAATAATTCCAAATAAATATTTAAACTTTAAGGAAAATACAAACATTAATTTTTACTATTGTAGAATTAGATGTATGATGATAAAATTTTAGGTCTTAAGGCAAATAAATATGTGTTAACGCAAATAAATTAATTAAGGCAAAGGCTGAATTTTGAAGCTTCAACAAAGAAAAAGTCTTACTTCCAAAACTAAAAATACAGAAATTTTTTTTTTGTAAGAATAATGAAGAAGGTATTGAGTATATTAATAATTTTAAATTATAATAGTTATTGATAACTGCTTACTTTTTAAAAAGTTTGTAAGAAAAATATATTTATGCAAAATTTTTTGCTCCTGCTTTTAAACAAGCAATGATTTCTTATAAAATTTTTTAAAAAAATAATTCCTGCAAGAACTAATAGTTTAAATGATTTGAATATTCCTCTACTTTTGAAGCTTGTGAACTCTTATAACAATTTATAAACACAGTCCTAACTTTACTTTTAATTTTATATTGAATTTTTATAAAAATTCAACACACAAAATAATTGCTGTGCACTAATTCTAGTGCACTGTAACATTAGATGCAACATTGTTAAAATGAATGAATAACACAAAAGAAATAGTAAAATGAACACAATTAATTTATTGTTTCATTGATTCCCACGACACTAAATAGTGTAAATAAGTTAATCAAAATATCAAAAAATATTTTTGATGAGTTAATCTCAAGCTACATTTTGTGTTTTTTCAAACTTTTAAAATTTTTTTGTTAACTTGGTTACATGAATATGTATATTAACTGCAAAAGAGAGATAATTTAAAAAAAAGAATGCAACTAACTGAATTATTGCAGTTTATTTTAAAATAGCATGTGTTTCAAGTATATATAATTTTCAACTAGAATATTTACATATCTTTTCATATGCATGATAAAAATTCTTTTTTGTCAACCGAATTTCAAAAATAGCATATTCCTATATATTTTTTCTTTGTGTGTTCTTGAAAAACCTTTATTTGAGTGTAATAAACATTACAGAACTAATCTGTCTGTAGTTCCTGAAGTTATGACCTGGCTCTGTCTGTTTTCTAACTCCCTGCACTTTTTCTTGCATTCTAACAGTTTCTGTAAATTACTCCACATTTGCATTTGTTTTTCATTATGGGTCTGATTTTCTTTCACTTCTTTCTGTTGCTCTTTCAAAATTTTAGTTTTGTTTTCTTGTTCTTGTATATGTCGATTGTATTGTTCCCTGAAATAGAAAATATTTTATTCCCACATGCCATAATAACATGGTTAAACAATTTAATCTTGTAGTTGTAGAAAACTGAAGCTTAAATGATCCTTTAAATGTTTATTTTAAAAAACTTGCAAACATATCTATTTGCATCACAAATTTAATGTTAATTAGATAAATCGGAAAGGAAAGAAAATTTTCAATTATATTAGTTTGTTCAGAAAGTAATTTTTTTTTTTTAAATGAAAATGAAAGTAGATTTTTTTTATATTTCCCTACTGCCATCTTTCTGGCAGTAACACGAATTTTGTTTTTTGGTGGCAAAAAACTCATCGTGGTGATTTTTTACCTACTTATTTGAAGTATAGGTTTTTTGCCTAAACAATTTTGTAGTGACTGCGACATTGTTGTAGACCATTTCTCATCCCCAGATGATGCATTTCAAAAATGAATAATTTTTTTGATGTTTGAGAAGCAAATCACAGATGTTAATGCGATGAAACAAATTTCTTCCGATAAGAATATGAGGAATACATATGATGAGCTTTAAGATTAAACATTAGGTTTTTCAAATGGTCACGAACAGTCTAATTCGTAAATTTTATGTTGCAGCAGACCAGTTATGAGACTGGTGTAACCACAATACATCTTCTCCATTCACATCAGATAATATTTTATTGCTTAAACAGCACTTTTACCTTCCTGTTAGCAAAAAAATTAAATATGTTGAAAATTCTACTTTTCACTTTCCATATTTGAAAAGGTACCAGCTATTGCTTAGAATCAATTGAACTTTTTCACAAGCAAGCCTTGCTAAATTAGCTATGAAAATAAATAACGATTATGCGGCATCAGTATGAAGTTGGCTGTGGAAAAATATAATTAAGTACTTTGTTGGGAAAACGATGTCACTTTCTGAACAACCCAATAGTTTCTAAAAAATTATTTTACTTTATTATTTTAAAAAATTATTTTAAATCCTAACAAACAGTGAATTAACTTAATATTGCAATTAAGGGTAATTCAAAATAGTGGAGAAGTTTTCAAAACATTATTTGGGCACACAACTACTAATGTAGAATAAGCCTAACATTTAGTTCAGTTGTCTGTTCCTATCTTTGAAATAAATTTAAATTTTTATCTCTGTCCCTAATCACTGAGTTTACAGTCAAAATTATTTTTAAATCAATAAATTTTATCAACATTTCACAATTTTAATAAAAAATGTTTATTTGGACTCAATCTGAACTGTTTTATTTTTGTTGTTAAAAACAGAAAAACATTATGTAAAGATTGATTTTACTATCAATTGCACTCCGACTAAGAATTCATTATAAAACAAAATGATAAGAAACAAATATAATTTTTTTATCAACATAACTTATTATTATTTTATTTTGATACAAAAACAGACTTACCCTAAATAAAAATACAATATATATTTTTTTGAATTGGACTATTAACTCTTAAAATATCTGAGTTAGTAGCATTCTCGAAAATATTGCTTCAATAGTTAGGAGGTATAGTCTAGAGAGAAGTTGAAAGTTTGAGACTTATTACTTATACACATTTTTGTATTCCATCACGTCTCTAGAATAATTTTAAAAAAAGCTAAAGATGTTTGCACACAGCTGTAAAATTCATTTAATATTATTTTCACATTTTTTAAAGATTATTTAATATTTTTAATAGTGATTTTAACAATGGTCAGACATTCTTAGAGTTGTAAAGTATGCAAATTTTAATATAAGTTTAAACTAAAAAATATAACATTTGAAGGAAATTGACTAATTTTCTAAGAAATAAATTTCAAAAATGATATTTTCTTTAAGTATTTTTCAAGAAATTTTGTAATAATTTCTTTTAAATTTAGGTTTTTGATATTTAAATTTTTTAAAAATTTGTATACCTGACAATTCAAAGTCCTTTGACCAAAATTAAACAATTATCAATATAAAATTATCTTCTAATATTATAATAAAAAATAATTATTCACACGAAATTATCCATGGACACAAGAGTTTTAAATTTGTGAGTTAAAAGTTTTTGATTTACTTTAATAGTTCTAGATACAGCCAAGTGAGAAAAAAGTGAAAATAGCATAGGGTTCAGTAAACTATTGGGGGCTGATTGCAGCAACCTCCCATATTTTAAGGATCAAGAATCCATATCCACCATAAAAAAAAGTATATAATGCAAGGAAAATACGTTTTTGTATCAGCTTTTGTAACTTAGTATGTCATCTGCCATAATTAATTAGTATATTTCAGGTCAATCCCTTAAAATATTAAGGTTTCTTTTAACACATGTAAATTTTACCGTTAAATCAAAAGTTATTTTTGTCTTCTATTTTAATTTTTTAAGTTGCACGCTGTATAACTAATTTTATAGTTTGAATTGAATTTTATAGTTGAAATTGAAAATTAAGTTTTAAAGATATAATTGAAGACCAAGATAAATTGATTAATTTTATGAAAAGTCTCTGATTGAAACTGAAAGAAAGAGGGAAAATATAATTAATGAGGCACCTTATAGATTTCTTTTTATCAGCTGCATCACTTGAAACATAAGACTTTATTTCTTCAGCAACTCTTTCATTTTGCAATTCAAGCATCTTAATTTTGACATTCAGTGTGTGATAAAGATGTTCAGCTTCTGCTATTTCCTCTTTATAACTGTTAACTTCCTATAAAGATAACAATTGCGTTATAATGAATGCTTAAATTATATTATGACAAGTAAAATGTAAATCATGTAAATGTAAATACTATAACAATTTTAAATGATTTAAGGAATGTTTGAGATTTAATTTTTTAGAGAATGTTAATAAATTATGACAACTACAGAACTAGACTGAAAAATGCACTATTTATTTTCACTTAGAATTTATTTCCTTATTATTATTATCATCTTACTTTTTTAATTTGTAATGAAGAAAAGAAACCTACTAATAGATTTTTGAAACATTTTTGTTAAACATTTTCTGTCTTAAAAAGTGTTGTAAATATATTACTCTATGTCTAAAAACTCGCTGTTAAAGAATTATAATGAATAACTCTCAGCATTTAAAGAATAACTCTCATTTATATTTTTCAGAGACAGCACTGTGACTTACTATTCTTCAGTGACAGCAGTATGAAGTGAAATTACCATAATTGTTTAAAATTTATTCTGAAATATTCTGTTTATTGCTATGGTATTAATCTTTTGTGTTAATACTTTTACTAGTAGCAAAAACTGTTTCGTTTTTTATTTTTTCTTCAAAAAGTTAAATTTTGCCTACCTAAATCTGCCAGCAGCCTACATTCCCCCCCCCCTCAGTTGGGCAATTATGTGTCCCAGGTGACATGTCAGACTTTTTTTCCCACACTCCCTCAACGATTTTTGACATATTTGACACACTATAACGTGCAAGCAGAATCGCTGGACAAATAAGGGTTTTTAACTCAATAAAGTTGTTTGCTTTGCTTTTTCAAAAAGAGAAGAAAAAAAAAAGAGAGATTTAAATTTTCATGTTTATTTCCATTATTACCAGTAGAAGTTATTTTAAGTAACATGGGGCATCTATTTCTGTTAAAAGAAAGTGTTGCAAGAAAGCTATCCAAGAAAACTATAGTATCATAATTTGATTGGAATTGGAAAAAACCTGCATGCAGCTTGCTGAGAAAATAAATCAACTTTATCGAGGAAATAAATTATTTATATCAATAAATGATTTATAATTAGATGTTGCCCTATGTAAATGGTTATATAGAAAAATAAGTTGAATATCAACTGGGATAATACTGCAAGTGAATTTAAAAATAAAATATGTGTAAAAAGGATAGGGTGTACTTAATGCTATGCTGGAAAAAGCAAAAGAAAAAAAATATGAATAAAGCACAAATGAAAGTACAGAAATGGACATACTATAGTTTGTCCTTTAAACAAGAACCTTTCTTAGTGTCTAAACTCCAAATGAAATGTCCATTTCTGTACTTTCATTTGTGCTTTATTCACATTGTTTTTTCTTTTCTTTTGCTTTTATGAGTATATCTATTTGACAAAGAGACATTTATTAAATTGTCACATTACATTTAATATAACTTTATTAAACTATTATTTTTCTTAAAAAAAACTTTATTTACAGAATTTATTAATTAAAATAGAAAGATTAATTGGAACATTTTGATTATAGACACTATGTTTGGTTCCAAGTAATCAAGGTCCAACTGTAATTTACTTTTTAATGCAGTACATTGGAAAAATTCCTAGCTGAAATAAATGTTTCATCAAAATAAAAAGTTTAGGCATACATATTATTTTATATATAAGATAATTTAAAATAAGCTATTATACCTGTTCAAGTTTCGATATACTGCTTTCTAATCCTAAAGCACAAGAATCATATGTTTGCTTCTTCTGCTCATACTCAAATGACATATCCTACAAATTAAAAAATCACAATAATTAAAAATATCAATGAAGTGAAAAATTTTGAACTCTTTGCAGCCCAAACTGTAGTCTCACAGGTTTTTGCTACATATGAAATAGTAAATACCACTCTAAAATATTATTTTGTAACCACTTCAAAATGTGAATACTTAAAATTATAAATCTATATAATATATTATAATAATAATAATAATAAATCAACNTGATCTTTTTTATATATATAAAATTAAATGTCTTTTACAATCTGTTGTCTGTACAAAGGATGCTCATAAAAAATTTATGGAATTTTTTAACAAAGTTTGATGTTACAAGAGCTTTGTAACTTTTTTTTAAAGAATGAAAGTTGTTTATATAACCTGCTATGTGTTCAAAACAAAAGCAACCAAGGAAAATCTAGAACTAATTTAAAACCAACGAACAATTTTTCTCTGCTATATATGTCGAAAGTAAACATTACTATATATATTTAAAGACTGTTTCTTACGCTAATAAAATTGTTTACACAGTGATATTGAAGTTACATTTTGCCATAGTATCAGACCAAATACTGCATTATTTAACAGCATCTAGTTTTCAATTCCCTAATATTCATAATTATAAAGTTTAATGGAAAAAAAAACAAGAGAAAATATTTAAAAGTATCAAGTATGTTAGTTTTCTGATGTTTAATTTTTGAAAGTAAAAGTATGTAAAATTTTCGAACGTTTTAATTTTTTATGTAATGCTTGTAAAACCATATTGCTTAAGAAGCCATCCTCACTGCATTCATTTTCTTTAATGTAAATGCATTGTACCAATCAGGTTTTCAATTCTTTCTATTTCACCTGGAAGTAAATTGTATTGTGCTGTGGTAAAATGCATACATTTGCAAAATCTGTATCAACGACCCCAGATGCAATGAGGATGGCTATCATACCTGTTAAATAACATCACGAATCATAATTAATTCATTGAATTTATTAAGCATAATGTTAACACAAACATATCATAATGTTAACATTAAAATTATTATTTCTTAAGGTTTCAAATTTATTCAAACAGGTAGAAAATAAACTCAAATCTATTTTAAAGGAAGTAACTGATTACCCAATTTTATGAACTGATTATTTACTTAATTTTATATTGACATTCAATATGGTTGGTAACTTAATTAAAATTATATACCATAAGTGATAAGTAAAATAAATATTTATAAAATAATAATGCAATATTCTCAGTCCTACAGATTAAATGAGTAATTAAAATTTCACTATGCACATTTTTGAATGTTTTTAACATTTTAATTAGTGTTTCAAATGCAATATTTGTTACCTTAAACATTCAATAGCAAGAAAAATCACCTAGTGGCTTCACAGTGATTATTGATCTATGGAAAATGTTCTTATGTTTTAACAATCTCTTATTAGTGTTATACTGTTACCTAATAGAACCTTATTTAACCCTACACTTAATGCTTTCTTTCCTTTTAAAGCTAACACTTATATTAATAAAGTGAGTAATTTTGAGGTATATACTTTAAAAAAGTTATCAACCATTGCAGACTTTTTATATTCATAGGCAGCAAATAATATGAAAGCTGAAAAATATTAATTTTACAAAAAAAGTAGTTTTTTAGTAGAAAACAGAAAAATGAAATGAAAACACTAAACGAGAAAGACGAGATAAAAGTACAGAAAAAAAGCGTTTAGTTTTAAAGATATGTTTTCATAAAGTTACTTGGCATTGTTGTCGAAGAGGACGAAGTTCTTTTATGACAGGTGCAAGACGAGCCTTTTTTTCTGCGATTTTAAGATTCAATTTTTGGACCATAATAGACATTTCTTCTAAAGTCTGTCCTTTTTTCTCATCAAGTTCTGCTTTAATGGATGATACTTTTTCTAACTCATCTTGTGCAGCATGAAATCCACTAACACCTTTCTGCATTTCAAGTTGCGCCTGTCAACAAGCAAGATCCATACAATTTGACTCTTTTTCTAATGGATTATTTGATTTTTTATCTTAAATATCTTCTCAAATAAGAAAATTCATACTTCTAAAATGGGGAAACGAATTCAAATTATAAGCTATTTTCATATTTGTCTAAAACTGAACTAATGTTAGTTTAACACTAAAACAAATTATTATTAAACTTAACAAAATCATATGAATCATAAAGTATTTCTATTTAAGCAACAAATAGTTAATAATGATTTAGAAAGTTGTTATAGTTAATTAATTTTGCTAATGAATAATGCTATGCATAGTTTAAGATTTAAAAATTCTAGTTTTACTTCACAAATTATTGTAATAATATTACAACACGGATACAAATATCAACAGAATTTGAATAATAAATAATATTAGCCTGCATACATACATGAAATTTTTTTTTAAATATCGATATTTGTTTTAGTGTAAATAAAGTTGTTTAAGAAGTTAATAAATTTATTTAAGTTATGTAAATAAACACATGATGAAAGGAGATTTTTAATGTTCTTTTTATTATTGTAATTAAAAAATAAAACTAGTTTAAGGACTATTGACCTGAAGCCCTTTGACTCCTTTTAAAGCTAATTTGATTTAAATTTTTTTACAAAATTTAGAAACAGCTTTTTAGTGATTTTATTTCAAGATTTTCTTTGATATAAAATATATGCTAATTTAAAAAAAAAAAATTAAAGAAAAAAGAATTAAATAGATAAAATGTCAAAAACTCTTTCTTTTTTTAGTTTTAAATTTGGGTAAAACATAAAATAAATAATGATTGATTAAAAGATGTCATCAAAAAGTTTAATTATTCAAAATAAATACGAATACTTAAATAATTAAAGCATAAACTATAAATTATAATAAATTTAAAGCAGATAAATTTAAAGATGTTGCGTGATAATGTTCATAGTTACATCATAAAAATGGACAAAATAGTACCTTATAATTGTATTTGCTTTTATTTTGTATTTTTTTTTTAATGTACCATTAAACCTTGTATACACACATTTTTGTATACAAGGTTTAATGATAATATATTTAAGCTTTTATTAATAAGGTTTATTAATATTTTATTAATACAAGGTTTAATGGTAATATTTAAACTTTTTTTTTAAAAAAAAGGAATAAATGGTAATATAAAATAGTCTTCATCTGTTCCTAACCTTGCATAAATATTAATAATGGTGGTATAAAAGAGATTAATATAGAATTTTCATTAAACAAGCGGTTGTAAAACAATACACAGATATTTGCTCATTGTTTCGAATAAATGTATGTTTCTCTTACCAAAGTTTTGGTCAATGCAGCTTCCTTTTGCTGAAGTATATCAACAGTTCTTGAAAGTATGCCACACTCTGTTTTCAGTTCGGCCATTTCTTGACGTTTTTTCTTATAAATATTGCTCTTTCCCCTCAATTTATTTACGTACCTCTTGAACTTTAAATAAAATACAATAATAATTCATTACATTTAAAAGTGCTATGTGATAAAATCAAGACTGTTTTGATCTTTTTAATAAATTAATGCATAGAATGAAAAGTTTTAAAATAAATCATTTTAAAAATAAACATTTTTAAAAAAATTACCTCATCACCCTTCAAAAATTCACCTTCATTAGCTTTGGTATCAGCTCTTTTATTGTCTAACTGTGACTGTATCTCAGCCATCTGAATTCGAGCTGCATTAAGTTCTTCTGCAGCTCTTTCTTTTTTGTGTGCAAGTATTGATACCTAAAAAAAAGCTTTTAAATCAATAGAAATCAAGTCGTAAAAATGATATTATTTATAAAAATACATAATCTAATTTGTGTAATAAGTACTATCTAGAGGCAAAACTTGACAACTGTTCTTGGCAATACTGACTATAACAGCAATATCTGTGCAATATGTAAAATTAATAAAATTCGAATTGTAATGTGAGGTCAAAAAATAAAATTTAGATTACCTGCTCAAGGTGCACAACGTTTTTTGGAACAATGTTAAGGAATAAAAATATTGATTTTTAAGGTGTCAAATGAATTATGTTCATATATAAATTAATAATTACTTCATTAGTTTTTAGTTTCGTTTTAAAAATCAGATGATGAAGAAAGTGTATAATGTTTATGATTAAAAGGCATAAGTTTTGCTCTCGATATCTCGTTTTAAAATTTAAATTATTGCAGGTTTTCAAATTCTTCTTTCAAAAAAAGTTTTTTAACTTCTTCTTTTCAACTTTTTTTTTAACTTCTAAATAATTTCTTAAATTTATCAATGTAGAAAAAATTGGCATCAAGTAACAATCAATTAGCAGTTACTACAAAATAATTTTAATATGCAAAAATACAAAATAGACATTTCAAATGCAAATTAGAGTATTTTGAAAAGTAATATTTACTTGAGTTACAGTTTCATTCTATAAGTATATGATATCGATTACTTAAACGAAAAAAATTATCTAATTATTTTTTAAAAACAGCATAACAACTTACACAATATTTTCATTGTCACCAGCTATATAAATACCTTTGTATAATTCAATTTAATTTCCTATAAATGGTCAGGTGATTTGTAAGACAACTATTATGGGAGTAGAAAGCCTTTTAATTTCTATCTATGACTATTAAAATGCTAACTAAGTTCTGAGAATTGCCATAAATGCGACGAAGGTATTTCTTAAAGATTATGGCATGTAAATACCGGAAATTTCAAATAAACTCTCAAATCAATACATAAACTCTGTCATAATAAGTTATAAAGAATTTTATTACATAACTCGAAATAATATTTTAACAATTCACTTACTTGCTGCCTAAAAAGAGATAGTTTATCATCTATTGGATTATTATTCCGCATGCGGGTTTCTATGAAGTCATGAATCTCACCGTTTACCTCTTGAATCTAAATGTTGGAAAAATAATAAGAAGAAAGCAATTGGGAAAAAGTAAATTCAATACATAAGTTACGCAACATTTTAGAATTTCAAATAATTTAATTCAGATTTACAGTTTATTATTATTTTATAAAATAAAGATTTGGTTACCAAGACTATTATTTATGCTCAGGAGCTTAGAAAAAATATCTAATAACAACTCCAAATGTAAATTTTGTTTTGAGGTGAAATTCAATAACAAATGTAATTAAACAAATTCATAGTTCATAATGGTTTGGTTATGAACACTGCACTAGAATTACATTCTAATGAGCTATTGTTGATGAACTGAGGTTTATCATTAATGATGATATGGGGACAACACACACTGGTAAATGCACACACTGCACTGTCAGAATTACACTCCCCAATTGTGCACAGATTTTTAGAACTTTAAGTATTACATAAGAGTACATTACATTAGAGTAAATTCCAAATCATTAGGAAATGACTGGAGAAGATGCTCTACTATCAGATACACAGTTTATAGTAAGGGGATTGGAATCCCGGCCCAAGCTATGGTATAAGAAGATTCTATCCTCCGCAGCACACTTGTCTTTAATTATTTTTTTCATATTTTCTGTGCAATTTTTGCTCTTATCACACACATGTATATATAAAAGGGGTTAAATTCAAATGCAAATAATTGAATAATGATGTAAAGTAACATATAATCTAGTAGAATAATAAAGTAATATGAAACTTACTTTATTATTTATTTGATCAAGATCTGAGCGGCTCAATGCAGGTTGTGATACTATTCTTTGCAGATCCAAGATAAATTTCTTCTGCGCAGATACTTCTTTAGGTAATTTATCTTTCACTAAATAGGAATTTACTTTGATACTTTCCTCCAGTTTTTGCACTAGAGCTAGATAATTTGTAAAAAAAAAAAAAAAAAAAAAAAATTTTTTTTTTTTGTAAAATAAATGAATTAGTAGTAAAAATTTAGAAGTTGAAAAAAAAAGTGAGAGAAAAAAGTTTTTATTTTCCTACTACATACTTTTAATATACTTAGCAATATATTTTGTCTGAGAAAATTAACTTATTTGTGTCTAGAAACCTTTATAAAGCTCCTTTTTTCTCAAAAAAGTAAATTGTGGTATGACAACTGTTTTATAATTAGGATTTATTATGCAGAAACAAGATAGTTCTACCTATCATAATATAAATATTTGGATTTGAAATTAAAGCATAGTGGCTTTTTTAAAGCTAAAAAGGTAGATAACAAAAAGAAATGTATGCTTGGTGTAAATAAATAAGTAGTACTTCTTTTTTTCATTTAGGTGTTTTTTATAAATAGACTGTTTTTTTTTTAATTTTTTTTAATCAGGCATTAAAGGGTTAAAGGTTTAAAATAAAAAATAATATTAATTAGGTAATAACAAACTATAGCTAGCAAAGGATTTAATTTTTAAATATTATATTACAAAGATTTTGCACCAGCACCAATATTTATCTCAACAAAAGCGTATTAAAATAACTTACGTCTATGATATTTGACTTCCAGTGATGAGCATACAATGACGTAGATTGCTTGTTTTAGTAATTATATGAATACAACTATGCTAATCATGAAGAAAAAAGAATACAACCATGCTAATCATGAAGAAAAAAAACGAGGATTCGTTACAGTTTGGGGAAAATGCCTCAATCATCATATTTGATGTTTATGCATCAGTTGATGTAAATTATGAAACTTGTGGTGTTATCAGTTCAAGAAATGACTGCGGAAGGTAAAAATAACGAAGTGATAGAGATGAAAATGGTGAAATGGAGCCACAATAATATTTGTGCCAATATTTGTGGAAACAATAACAATAGGAAAAATTAGGAACTTTCTGCATTCATACAAACTTACAGAAAATTAACATTAATTTCTTACAAATGTCAAATAATAATTGTTCACATTGAGGTGATAAAAGTGTGTTCATACCAAAATTTACAAATAGTATTTTAAATTAAATAAATGTGTTTATTCATCATACTTTTGCATTAAGTACATAATTTCTTCAATTACAATTTAATAAATTTATTGCAATTTTTTTAACTTTTAAATCCATTATTTTTCATTGATTTTAATACATTTTTAAGTCATTATTTGACTTTTTTTTGTTGAAAGCATTCTTTGTTTTCATGTATCCATCATTTACGATGAATAATTCCATGACAAATCAGGGATTGAAGATCTACTATATTAGTTCCTATATCATTGAAGCATGTGATTCTTAGAAATGAAACAATATCATATTTGCTAGTTTGAACCAGCACTTTAAAAACCGGCCAAATTATGAAAAACACTTTAAATTTTGCTTCTTTCTTTTCTTCTCTTCTTGGTGAATTTCATGCACTTTTGGGTTAAATTTTTGAACTAAAAAGTTTGTTGATAAATGAAGTGGCTTCAAATTTTATTTAATCTTTAAATTGAAAGAACAAGAATGATATAAATAAAAGAAATTTATACGAGGCACTATTTTTTTGCTCGTTAAATAAAATGTAAATTACCTTTTCAGAGTTAAAGGAAAGAATTGCTTTATTACCAAATGGTATCTAAACAGCAATTATCTCTTTATATTAAAAACCGTAAAGGCCACCAACGTTGCTGATATGGGTGTTCAACTTAATGCAACTTTTTGTTCTGCTCTGTAAAAACTGTAAGACTTAGAAAATTGAGATTAGGAAGATGTGTAGAAAAATGTACAGGGAGTATGATCAAAGAAAAAATTTATCATTCAATAATTAGTTCAAGAAATATCAACTGTTAAAGTTGTAGTAAAAATATCATAGGGTCATTCTACAGGCTGCAAAAATACAACTACATTACAATTGAAAAATGGTATGCTAAAGGGTCATATTTGTTTGAAAATTATTGAAATTTAAGGTGCTTTTTTGCGAATTTCTTTCTCTCTCTTTTTTTACTTTAAGTTTCATTTTGCTTTGCTGCACAAAATCTATAACACTTAAACTTGAAATTAGGTAAGGTAGGTAGGAAAAAGTACAAAGAGTACAATGGAATAAAAATATTTAGTTTCGACAATTAGTTTGAGAATTGGTAACAATTAAACTTCTAGGAAAAATACCATGTCTGCTAAAATGCAATTACAGAGTTAAAACTTGATGTGCATAAAGAGTCATTTTTATTTGTGAACTCAAATTTATTCAAAAGCACATGTAATTATTATGATTAATTTATATTAATTATATTGACTTTTAGTAATTATATTGACTTTTTACCCACGAATGTAGAAAATTTATTTTGTTCTCGTGATATCTTTATTTAAGCTCGAGCTTGATTAGATGTCAATCAAAAGCCCATAAGCAGAATATTTTCAAATGTTCTGCAACAGGACTTATTAATTTATACAAATATTCTGCAAGCATTTCACAGAGAAAAAAAGTAAATTTTACTTTAAAATACTATATTTTCATTCATTAAAATACAGGATTGTACGCAGATACACTACATTCTTTTTTAAATCAAGGTAAACTTTCTTGATTCGTTACTTTTTCAATCACTTTTGAAGTACAAAATTTTGCTAATGATGAATTATCAATTAAATGCCTATGATATGAAGGTCCGAACATTAAAATAAGGGCTGCCTTAAAATTCTTTCGAAGGGACAAGTGCCCAGATGGTGCACCATTTGCAAACACAAACATTCGCTGGTCTGTTGTTCTAACAACTTCTTCATCTACATCGAAAACATTTAGTCTTTTAGAAACAATTCTGTCAATCGTGGGTACCCACGATTCACAAATTGCTTCTGAAATGGGAATGGAAAATATGAAAGTCATAAACTTCATGAAATTGGAAATCTCTGAATTTAACGAGTAAACAAAACGAGTAAAGCGGTTTATCATAGATTTTTAAGTGAAAAATTGAAACACAAGAAAATTTATCTAAAAATGTAGGGATGATGAATGAGGTGGGAGAGAATGTTCTGCAAGATTATGAGGGGAAGCTTTTAAACCTTCGGGTCATTATGGTCTACAGAAGAATGTATGAGATATGGGGTGGGGATTGTTCTGCAAGACTACCGGAGGTAGGTGATCGGGGGTTCGCAGGAAAACGCTGTCACTTATTCACGATACAAATTGTTCTGCAGGACTTTGTTTGTTCTGCGACGTACGCCACAGTTTTAGGCACTTTCTGCTTCTGGGATCAAAAGTAACAATAAAAAACTAGAGAGGTATCACATGAAAAAATTTAAAAAAATTATTGTCATATTTAAAACAACATTTAAAAACAAAAGTAGAATTACTTTCTGGAGTAGCTCCAAGACTAGATAACTTCAATTCCTTTAGCTGTTGATTTAAACGTTGAATTTTTTGTTCAGCATGTGTAAGCTAAAAATAAAAGCATTCAACAAAATTTAGGAACTACTCAGATCATAGCATAAAAAACAGATAGAAATAAATTAATTTTAAATAAAAACAATATATTTAATAGGTAAAAAACTTCTTACAGCATTTCTTTGTTCCATTTTTTGCCTATTCAAGTTGTCTGACAAATCTCTCTCTTCACGCAGTCGCTTTGCCACTGCCAGCATTGCATCAACATTAGGATGACTTTCAACCTATAACAGATCATATTCAGAGATAAATGACAAATGATAAACACATTACTTTTCAAAACAGTTAACATTTATTTCATACTCGCTGAATACCCCTTCTTCAGAGTAAAAAAACAAAATTCCAAATAATTAATGAATCTTAAAGAATATGCAATAAATTCCTTGTGATAATCAATCTTGATCAAATAGAGCTATAAGACAACACTGGTGTTAAATATTTAGATAATAGAAGTGTTTGCAATTTGTATTGAACAATGTGTAGTGCTAATCCTATGAGGAAAAAAAACGTTTTTCACACATGCCTCTCAAATTAAATAATTATAGCATGTTAACTATTTTAATGATTATGGGCTAAAATTACCATCCCTCTAACAAACTTGCTAAATTTTAGGATTATAGCACACACAAACAGTTCCAAAGTTATAAGACAGATAGATAGACACACAAAATCTTACTTTCATTATTAAGGATTATATATTACTTCACGTATAGAGATAAATTTTTATGATATTTGGTTCAAATTAAACATCACTAATTATTAAGATCTACTTTCAAAAATTAAAATAAAATGCAATCACACAATAATGTATTAAGACACAAAACAATTTTTGGGGATAAATGTTTCCTTTACATAAACCCTTCTCACAAAGAATTTCTAAGTTTATCTCACAATAAAACATAAAAATTAAAAACATTTCAAACTTAAAAATTAGATTCAATATTGTTTTTAACCAAGGGTACCATGATGATTCAATGGTTAACCTCTTATGGTCACATAATTTTGAAGAAAACAGTAATAAAATTGTCTATTTTTTTGATAAAGAAAATTACATAAAACTAAATGCATGCACAACAAATATATTAATTTTTGGCTATTCACAAATATCATGCTTGGTGAAAGCTAGCATCTAGTTTAAAATGAGCTAACTATATCTAAACACATTACGAAGTTTGGTACTGCCATCTTGTGTATAGATTGAGAAATAAACATAATTCTGGGGATAAGAAATATATTGTTTTAATTTTTATTAGTGCATTACTTTTGAACATTTCAGCCTAAAATGTCATGGACAGGACTTCACTCCGTCATTTTAATAGGAGTGAGAAAAAAGGATTAAAGGCCTTAAGCTTCAAGGGAAGGAAGAGGTTGTTGAGCGTCTTAAAGCCCACGTAGCTTCAGACTGATGAATATCGAGGTATCTGGAAAGTAAAGACGGATTTTGCACAATGCCAACCACATTAACACAATCATGCAATTGATCACAAAGTTGTGGAGCCTAGAAGTTGTAGGAATGCTTAAATTTACTCTTTAAAAAGAAAGAACGATTTTATTTTTGTCAAACATAAAGAGAAACGCATAGGGTGCATCATTTTTAAAAGATGTTGTGAAGAATGTCTCAGTGTTATTAGAAATTTGGCACAAATAGTTGGCGTTCAAGCGATTAAAAGTTTGCTTATATCATTTAGAATACAATTGCAATTTGCATTATTATCAGATTGAGAGCATAAGTTGAAAATTTACAGAAATTTTCATCAGTGAAAAATTCTTATTGTCAATAACAGGGAACAAATTTTTTTTTTTGGAGTTCAATAAACAATTGAAACTTTTAGTGCCATTAAACAAAAAGTACCAGGGGAGATTTCAGCATTCTAGTTTATTGGAAAGTTTTCAGAAATTTGATCAGTGATAAATTTAAAATTTTGCAAATGGGAAATAATTAAAACTTATATTGTACCTCATATTGAAACTTATTACTTATAGAGCATCAGGAAGGGTGTTCTAGATCAGATCTGAGCACTCTAGTTATTGAGAAAGTGGATTTCATTGATGATAAATTCTTTTTAGCAATAAAATGACAAGTTCAGCAAGTAGTCAAAAATGAATGAAATTTACAATGCTCTTAGATTGTTAATTTGAAAGCCGCTGCTAGTCGAAAATGATTGAAATATTACTCCATTGGCACATATATAAAATACAGTTAAAAATAACAGAGTTTTATGGTAATATAACTAATGAATAATAAAAATCTATGTTATGTAATGAGAAAATTAATATGATTCCCTTATGTACCCCTTCATTCAATTGAGAAAAAAAAATTCTATTTCATGACTTGCTAAAAAAAAATTTTTTTTTTATTAACATCATTTTATAAATCAGAAATTTATCATAGATGAGCAGTTATAGAAAAATTGAGCAGTTGTAGAAAAATGTTGACATTTATTAAGATGTTGACAAAATATGCAAAGGATAATTTTTATAATAAATACATTTAAATAAATTTAAAAAACAACTAAACTAATAATGAACATAATAACAGCAATCCATAAGATAATAAACAAATTAATAGAAGAGTAAGCAAGTAGAAAACTACCTTCATCTTTAACCTTTCAATTTTCTTGATTAGTTGATCTCTTTCTTCTTCCATATGCTCCAAGTCTTTACGAATTTCTTGTGTTGAGAAGCCACTGGATTTGAGATTTTCATATTGCTTATGTATTTCCTTGAATTCTTCAATAACATTTTCATACTATAATATGAAAAATGTTATTTCAGGAAAGTTTGAAAAATATAATAACTCTCATTACAGGATATCCTAATGGTAGTAAACTTATAAAATGTACCCTTTAAAAAAACAATAAATAAATAAAAGTAAATATTTTAAAACATTTAAAAATGTATTAAAAAATTTCAATTTAACTCACTGCTTAATTTCACTGAATGAAGATATGAATAGTCAAATAAGTAAATTAAAGAAGCATATTTGTTTGAGTAAAATGTTTTATTGTATTCATGAAAACAGCTTTTGTGCATTTGCAATATAAAATTCGTTGATTTTTATTATTAATGTAATTTTAATTTCTTTAATTTGAGATTTTCATTTTTTCAAGTCGATTTCGTTTTGTGTAGTACTTTTATATAAGTTTAATCAATGAAGCATTGAACTATAGACTCTGAATCTGCTAATATAACAACATTGAATCAACCTATATTAAGAGAACTAAAAAGAACAATAATGCTGAGCTTTTAATGAAATTGAAACAAAAATTTTGAGTTAATGGTGTAGTCCTTCATCATCAATAGCCAAGATCTTTAGAAAAAAAATTCTATTCAAGAAATCTGTCAATAAACTGAATAATCAAAAGATAATTACAATGTCAGGCAAATGAAACGAGTGAAAAAATTCTTCCTGTTTCCTATTCTTAGAGTTATCAATTTCCAAATAGGCATGATATTACTTCTCACTTAAAATTTAGTGTTCAAAACCTGAATTGTAAGGAAAGAACTCAAATATCACACACTAGTAATTTGCTTCTTTTCTTCTTTTTTTATAAACACTATCAAAGATATGTGGAAATGTAAAAGTCTATTTAAATTTGATTATGTACTTGCAACCAAAATACAGTTTTTTTTAAAATTAGCTTTCAAATTCTAATCTTAAATATTAATAAAGGGCAGAGATAACTCTAAAATGATAGTTGAAAAAAATAAATAAATAAAGTTGAATATGACAAAACACTAACATGTGATGGAAGCAATTTTAAGAGAAAATTTGTCCTGGAACTATAAGATCATCATGTCATAGAACTATAGGTATATCATGCAATTACAAAATTTATGGATTGAAAAGCATACTATTAGGTAAGGAACTTTTCAAATGGTGCGTTTTAATAACAAAGATGTTTTGCAATAAGTATGATATTTAATTTTGGTACATGGAAATTTAGACTGATAAATAATATAAAGACTCAATTTAATAAGATGAAATAACAAAAAAAAGTTCGATGCCGGGGGGATAAAGTATAGTAAAAATAGATAGAAGAAAATGCTTCAAAGACATAATAACAACCACCAAAAGGTATTCCAGAAAAGAAAAAAAACTTTGATTGAAAATAATTTTAAGACCCTTCAAATTTCTTTGGAACAACAAAATCATTTAACAGCTCAGCATCAATTTTTTTTTATAAGAAATGAAACCAATGATTGTATTAAATGATTGGATAATTATTTTAGTGTAATAACAAGAGTTATGATGATTACAAAAAAAATTTATAATAACAAAACAAATCATAAATATTCCAATTTATACTCATAATAATAACACATTTAAAAAAATAAATAAGTTTAATACCTCAGGTGATAAAATAACATAAATAATTTAAAGAATAGCTGTAAAGCTTCTAATAAACAGAAAATTACATTTACAACATTTCATTTACTAATGCTAAATAAAAAAATTCATACAATAATTCAAGAAATTTCTTTAAAACAAATAAAATGTTAACATTTTTAAAAGCAAAAGGTATTTAGCAAAAAATATTTTGGAAAACCAAAATTTACTTGATCATATATGTCTCTGATGTCTGCATCACCTTCTATGTCAGGTGGTAATTCAACTTTCATGAGGTACTGAGCTAAGTAGGCACGTTTTTTTAATTCGGGCATTCTATGAAATAACCAATCCAATATGTGATAAATAACTGACTTTTCTCCAGTCACTAATCCTTGTCTAAAATCACTCCTAAAATAAGAAAATTAGAAAAATAAAAAAAATAAAAATTCAATTTTTAATAAACATACTTTGAATACTTTTTTTTTAGTTATGAAAAGTACTCATTATATTTAATTACAGTTGCTATTGATGCAATGTTGTTAAGATATACATAATTAAAACATGAGAAAGGGTTTAAGTAATGGCTTTATATTATAATGGTCAAAAATGAATCAATTTTAAGCAACCTTATAAGGTGTACAGGTCGAATAACAATAAATATGAACAGCAAATATTTTTTTATGTACTCATATTTTAAAATTTATTTTACAAAATATATCTCAATTAGATTATTTTCGTATTTCACTTAACTATACTTTGAAATCAGACGCAAGTAATGTTAATAAAGTTGTTGCAAGTATTGTTAATGAAATCACACTAATAACAAATTCAAATTGTTTTTGCGAACAAATTATTCTCTTTGTCCCATCATTAAATTGATTTTAGGGGGAATATCATTTTCAAAGTTGGACTGAGAATTATAATAGAAAATAACAATTTATATAGCTATATTAGACATACTACCATTACTTATTGGTTAAACGTCCTCTGAGAACATGAGCATGATTCAGGACAGCCCTCTATTTTTCAAATTTTTTGTTCTTTAGATTTCTAGTTTTTAGTTTTTATCTTTTTCAGGTTATTTTTGGCATCCTCTAACCATTTTGTTCTTAATCTTTTTTACAAAATGATAATGAATTCTGAGAAAAAAAATTTCTGTAAAAATAATAAAAGCAACAAAACACTTTCAATACAATTAAACAAAGTTTATGCATTAAGTTAAAAAAAGCATATCGAATACAGTTGTGGAAATTAAGTAATTTCTCTGAAAGAGATTATATATAATTTAGAATAAAAACTTAAAAACAATATTGTTCTTCATGTTTATTATATCTTTGGTATCATATTCTCAATATGAAATTTTGTCAAAATTTTTTTTCATAAATTGACAATTTCTCCTTCACAAAGAATTTCCTAAATTAAAATTATACAAAAAAGAAAAAAAAAGGAACACATAAGTGTAGAACATTCTTTGTATCTTTATCGAAGTTTTATATGGATAATAAATGGATGTTATTGAGGATACTACAGGGTAACAAAAAATTATAGGGATCATTTTTGAATGTTTTTATTTCCAAAATTTATTACATAAATTCAGCGATGTTTCTCAATATGTCGACCTCCGGCATAATAGATTTGTCTACAACGCTTTGGCCATGATTTTAAAGCCCGCAAAATTATTTCCTGGGGGATTTTCCTCACCTCTTCTCTAATAGCTCTTTGAAGGCCTCTCAATGTAGAAAATCTTTTCTTATTCAGTTTGTTTTTCAGATGTCCCCATAGGAAATAGTCGCATGGTGAAGCATCAGGACTGTTTGGAATCCATTGTTCTGGTCTCAGGAATTTCACTTGCTGATCTGTTAGGAATTTCTGGGTGACCTTAGATGCATGCGATGGGGCAGAGTCCTGATGGAACACAGCATCACTATTAGAGTACAATCTGCAGTAATCATCCTTAAAAAAGGGCTTTAATATCTTCTGTATGGAATACTCAAAATTTATTTTGGGCCCCAGGTTTCACAAACCGAGGTTTGGTCACACCATGGGCGGATATGCCCATCCAAACCATTACGCCTTTGACATGAGGCACCGTGGTTGATGGTGTCAAGTCTCGCCTGTTCTGTCCACGGCTAAGATATTGAACTTTAGATTTAGCATTGGTATCAGATAGATAGATCCAAGCTTCATCAGTTGTAATGAACTTTCGCCATCTGTCCTTACAGAGAAGCTTGTAGAGAGGCCATAAGCGTTGCCTCCTAATCTGCACCGATCTCTCACTTAAATGATGACATTTAGGTTTTTTATGGCATTTTTTCTTCAACTTTTGTTTTAGTTGATAGCTTACAACTTGCTGACTCCCGTTAAGAGCTTTAGCCATGCTTGTCTGTGTTGGAGGATCCGGTTTTGATGTCATCTTATCAAGCTTCTGCAAATCTGATTTCTTCAATTTGCTTGACCGTCCACTTCTTTTTGGTTTTGCATTATTTTGCATCGATCCAAGTTTTGAATTCTTGATGCGACTGATATGGCTGAGTGAAATCGCAATACCTTTCTTTTTAAAATGGGTTTCTATAATCTTGTGGCTCCATCGAAGTTCTAAAAATGCTTGTACTTGACCAATTAGCTTTTTGTCAAATTTCTTCAAAAGCATTTTTGTGATTTTATGAAATAGTAATGCAATTGAAAGTCAAATAGTAGAGCTTTAGATCAGTATGGTATATATGTAAAAAGGTTTTAAAACTTTAGTGGTAGATAACCACAAAAGTGATCCCTATAATTTTTTGTTACCCTGTATACATGAATGTAATATTTTAAAGATAAAATCAATTATTTGAGTTCAACTTTATAATTACATCCAAATACTTGTTTTTCTTTCATTTTTGTGAAAGATAGAAAATATCACAACATACATGTAGTACCAGTAAGAAACATAAATTTAATGGTGTAAAAAAATTTATCTCAAAAATAAAACTTCAGAAAACTTTATATACTAAACAGTTGATGTTCGTTTTTAAAATATTGTCATTTGCAAACATTACAGAACATAAAATATTATTTCTTTTTGAAAGCTTAACATTTATTATTTTTTAAATTAAAATAACAATGAATATTCATTATTATTCATAGAATGCAAGATATATGAAGAAAAAAAATTTGATCATATAACTTAACTCTCTGAGCATTAGTTCTCACTTTTCTTAAACTTAAACTGGTCGTTTTATAACCACAAAAAAAAAAGAAATAATAATAATAATAATGTGTTACTTAGTTGGAAAGCTACGTAGTAAAAAAATTTCATTCGATTTTGCCCAGAGTCATAATGCTTAGAAGATTAAATGATAGTGTTATATTTAATCCCACCAACAACAGTGGACTGCAGCTTACCATAATGGTGAATAGGACTCCCTAATTAGAAAAATTTAATCTATAAAATAAGACCACCTGCAATTATAATAACACAAGCAATTGAGTAAAAAGATAACTAAATCTTTCTACTCAATTCCTCAAAACAGCTCCAGTTAAATATGTGTAATAATGTGGCAAATATGTTAACTTATTTTCTTAGCAAAATAGAAATCATTAAAAGAAAATAACATATCTTACATGTCAACAGTATCAGGAGGTTTGTATTTCAAAACTCTCAGGAAATTCAAGTTCTTAAGAACCATTTGTTCTGGATCCTCTGCTCTAACATCAGCTTTCAACTGAAAATCCCAGAAAATTTTTAATAAATAATTAAATTGTAAACTAAAGTAAAAATAAAAGAAAACTATTATATAACTAGTAACGAAGAGGAAAAAAATACAATTTTTATATAAAGTTTGACATAAAACTATAATTTGTAATAAATTCTACTTGTATAAAGATTGCTAAAATCATTGAAAATGACATTTCTGCATCTTTCAAATCTTTCTTACATTACAAAATACAATAACAATTTTAAAACTTAACTTATACACATAAAATATTGTTACTTTGTCTTTTCAAACTCTTTCATTATGTTCAGATAAATTTCTTAACACAAGTTATTTATTTAATTTATTTGTAGATAATAATTTTACTCCAATTATATATAGTAAATAAAATAGCCAACATTGTTCTAAATGGATTTATACTATAATAAAGTAATTTAATATACAGAAGAATTTGGATTAGAAGATTTGGTTAGAATTCAACTACAGGGGAGGATTAAAAAATGAATTAATATGTATTGAATTTATATATAAGTTTATAAATGAATTATATTACATATGAATTTTATATTGGATTTATATTACACAGATAAATAAATTAAATAAAAGAACCCCAATTATCTGATAACCAACACTTTGGCTAAATGACATCCTTTCTTACATACATAAAAGCTTCTTGACACTCAATTTATCATTACAGCTAATGTTACACAATTATCGTTCCATTTTTCACCTTTGTGACCTTACATTAAATTTCATATTCAATTTCATCGAATTACTACTGTGAAAATTATTTTAAAATTCGATTGCTAGAAAACGACACATTAACAGGAAAGAAAAATTATCAATCATCCTTTTTTCATAATAATGTGTTGCTATTTACGATAGAAAAATAAAACAAGTCTAAGGATTTTATGAAAGTTTATTGTACATATTATTTGCTTTGAGTAAATTTACTCATACTTTAATGCTTATACACTTAGAATAGTTTTAAAAAGGTACCCAAATAATCTATTTGTTTTGAATTACCGACACACCCGTCATTTTATTAAATACCATGCCCCTTCCTCGCTTTACTTACAAGCCCATTCGACTGTTTCAGGCAGCTAAGCAAATTGTGAATCTAATTATCTTATTTAATGCAATTTTTTTTCTCCTGAAAAAACAAAAGAAATGAAATTTGAACCAATGATAACTTACTTTTGCATCAACTTCAGAAAAAACATCATTAAGAATTTGCAGCAAATTTTCCGATCTCAGCGAATCGAAGCTAATCAAATTATACTTCTTATTGAAGGGTTCTTTGTTGAGTTCTTGAATAATATACTTTATCTGTTCACTCATGTTTATCTATTAAAAAAATAGATTCATTCAGTTCAATTAATTTGACTTTCACACAATAAAAAATACAAAAAGTTTAAATTAATTTTATTAAACAACTCAGCGAAGAAAACTACCGAAACCGAAAGAGTTATAAATGGACTTACTTCTGAAGTTATTCAAATACACTCTTTTTTAACTATGACATTACCATGTTTATATTATCTGTTGTGAAGTCGTGTTGCTATGACAACTAAACAATTTCAGGTATAGTTAAATAAACAGTTAAATTTCATTCCAGTAATAATATAGTTTTGAAGAAATATGTTTGGAATTAAAAAGGATGACATTAAGTTTAAACTATTCAAAAACATGAGGAGAAAAATGCGAAAATAAATTGATTCAAAAAATAAATTAATTAATTAATGATCTATCAGTCTTACTCACAGTGAAAGGAAATGAAAAGAAGAACTTCGCGTCATAACATTTCACTCCTAATATTTTCGGTTTTAAAATTTTTTAAATATTACTAGGATTTCTGACAGTATGGTTTTGAAAAAAGCTGATATAGATAATGACTCTTCTAATGTAATTTTTTATATTTATGTATTTTAATATGTGCTATAATATTCTTTGAAGCTTGTTTGCCTTAATTCAAAATTTGTTAATATACGTGTACTTGTCAAACTGTATGATCTAATTTCACATGGAATTGTTATAAAGAAGTTGAATTCTTAGAAGCATAAATTAATTATTATACTTTCTAAAATTTAATTAATATCAATATCTACAGTTCTCTTTATTATAATTTTTTGATCTTTATTAATAGAGCCGGTTCAAATTTTTGGAAATCACTGTTTTGAAACAATATTTATCTGAGCCCTAAAAATCAATAACACAATTTGCTTTTTCCATTTAAGCATAATAAACTTATTACATTATTTAGAATATTACATGTTGTAAAATTTGCAGTACTGTCGAACTCGTTTAAAATGTAAACATAGGGTCTAAGATAAAACAACAGTCAGCCGAAATTATGTACAAAAATAAACTGGAATGTGTAACAACTAGAGTTGCATTACTGTTATGAACTAGAACATTTAAAGCTTGAAATTCTCTGTTTTTAAATTGTGTTGAAAGTGTAGTATTTAAACCATATTTTCTGTAAATATTGACATTTTTTTCATTGATTGAAAAAAATTGATGTTTCCCCTTCATCAAAGATTTGTTTTGATTAGGCAAACACTGTAGTAGATATCAAATATTTTGCTTTTGTATGAGGCATATGATTCACAAAAATTTGGTCAAGTGTGTATATGGTTCTTGACTAAACATAAGCAGATGCAGAATCTAATCAATAGTCTGTTAAGCAACATCTTATTTTAGTCACAACCATGACCATCAAGGATTCTTTATTCATCTGTTGTTGCACTTTAATAGCCATATGATTGTGTAATTGTTCAAATGTGAAACAGTATTGTTTGACATCATTCCTTGTTAACATGAAAAGCAATTATTACAAACCCTCTTAGGTCCTTAGTCATATGATTAACCCTCATGAGAGGAGAAAAAACAGATTTTGATTAACATAATTTCATACTTATAATTTCAGTCTCTCTTTCATTGGTTTCACAATGAAAAAAACCCCATCAAATAGGGATGTAACGACACCAAATATTCGGCCAAATCATATGCTGCTGTAAACCAATTTATAAGACCGCATGAAATTGCATTTAAATCATCACAAATAAAGTGTTATGTGATAAGGTTATTAGGAAAGTATGTCGTTTGAAATTCATGTCTTGTAACAATGTATGTAAAGAAATCAAGATTATAAAAACTGGAAATCTAAAGCAATAACTGTTAGATAAATAATTAAGAAAAACATGCATAGATGTTATAAGATCTAGGGTTTCAAAGATGTACATATTTAAATCTGTGATTTGATAAAATTCTGGCACTTTCTTCTTGAGCACATAATTTCAATCCCAAATACTTTCGATGCTGATGCAGCATATTAGCTTGCAAATGATAATCAGTAACTGCCTGTTAATTCAGTTTACTTATACAAAATGTCATTAATCAATTACTTGAACAAATATAGACTTTTTTTTAGTGTTTACCGGTTATAACCAGTTTCTGCCGGCAAAAAGCCAATCCTGGTCAAATAACAGCTAAATTTTGTTTAAAGACAAGGGTGTCCCTGACAATTCTAAGCCTAGGGTACCTGTATTTTTAGGTCAGGCCATTAGGCCAGGATTGCTCTTAAAAAACCTAATGGCAAGACTGTGAATTAATAATCTAATCATCTTAAATTAAGAGCATTAAAAAGGCTAATATGCTTGTATAATGATATTGCAATGAAATATCAAAATTTTAAAAATCACATGGAAATACATAAAATTAGCTTCCAAAAACCATGTGAATATAAGGTGGAATCAAACATATATATATATTTAAATTTGAGTTTAAATATTTTATGAAGTATATATATTTTTTCTTTTTAGGCTGCAGATGAGAAGCCTATCAAAGTTGATAAATGGGATGGCTCAGCTGTCAAAAACGCTCTTGATGATGCTGTTAAAAAGGTATGTGATTATATTTTAAAGAATAAAAACTTCAATTTGAATTCTAATAATATTTTTGTTGTGTAGGTCTTCACTGAAAAATTAAAATATGTAGAATGTCATAAATTAATGGATGGTCGCTTAGCTATATCTGGAATTGCTGTTGGTGCTGCCATGTTTGCTCTACTCTGGGATTATCTTCATCCATTCCCTGAATCAAAACCAGTATTAATCACTTGTGTGGTTTCATATCCTTTCTTTTAAAAAAAACATAAAAATATCTGAATCAATTTTTGTACTTTAATGAAAATAGTTATTTCGAACTTTTATCTATCTGTGTTTGGTATTTTATGCAGCAAACTTGTATACCATTATTTCATTCGACTATCTCTGGGATATCTATCATTATTATTATTATTATTTTTTTTAAATTTCATTTTTGCACTTGGAAGTTCAGGAATTGTAGTGTAATGAAATATAGTACTTACATGCACCTTTTAATTTTAAATCAGCATAATGTAAAGCTTTAATGTAGTCATAATTTTCTATCTCTGGGATATCTATTATTATTATTATTTTTTTAATTTCATTTTTGCTCTTGGAAGTTCAGGAATTGTAGTGTAATGAAATATAGTACTTACATGCACCTTTTAATTTTAAATCAGCATAATGTAAAGCTTTAATGTAGTCATAATTTTCTATCTCTGGGATATCTATTATTATTATTATTTTTTTAATTTCATTTTTGCTCTTGGAAGTTCAGGAATTGTAGTGTAATGAAATATAGTACTTACATGCACCTTTTAATTTTAAATCAGCATAATGTAAAGCTTTAATGTAGTCATAATTTTCTATCTCTGGGATATCTATTATTATTATTATTTTTTTAATTTCATTTTTGCTCTTGGAAGTTCAGGAATTGTAGTGTAATGAAATATAGTACTTACATGCACCTTTTAATTTTAAATCAGCATAATGTAAAGCTTTGATGTAGTCATGATTTTTGAAATGTGAACTTAAACTATAATTATATATGGAAGCAGGGAAGCTTATACTTTTATGTTTAGATATTTTTTAATAAATTTAAATAAACAGAAAATGAAAATGAAATTATGTGATAAATGTTCAAGGTCTTGTATGTTAAACTAAAGCATTTTTAGGATATTAGTAAAATACAGTAAATCTTAGCTAACAGGTTATGTACAAAAATGTTGTTTAAAATAAACATACTGGTATGAGATCCAACTGTTGTGTTATTATATTTACACATTCACTTCTACAATTTACGATGTCTTGGGATATTCATCCACTTTTAGATGCACCTGGATAATTATTTTTGAAAAAATTATCCGCACATGCCCTGTATAAAGCAACTACTTCAATTACTCTTATCTGGCGCAGTTTTTATTATTATTTTTTTAATTTTAAAGCAATAATTTAACGCTTTGTATAATAACGCTTTGTTTAATTTTTTTTAAATATTTAAGCTATAGTAAAAGTGGCACTAGACCTAGTGTATATTTCGGACATTAACCAAAGGTCTAGTCATACTAGATCTGGTTAAGTGCCATTGCCTGGTATACCCTACACTGATGTTTTTTTAAGGTTAAGTGCCACTGCCCGGTATACATTTGCCCGGTATACCCTACACTGATGTTTTTTTAAGGTTAAGTGCCACTGCCCGGTATACATTTGCCCGGTATACCCTACACTGATGTTTTTTTAAGGTCAAGTGCCATTGCCCGGTATATATTTGCCCGATACTCCAAACACTGATGTTTGTTCTAATCTATCGTCAGTAAGTATTAAAATATCGAATAAATGTAATTATATCCACGAATAAATTAATATAAAATCGGATGTAATAAATATTTCGGACATTCACCAAAGCGACTAATTTGATTGTCAACATTCACCGGTGAAAGCCAACAACCACCGATTTTGGTCATTCACAGTAACATGCACATCATTTACATAATAACCTCATCAGGACGATTATTTCATACTTTGCCTAAATAGCATCCGGCATTTCAAAAAATAAAAATAATTGGTTTTGTTGGCGATGATCTCGTAAGGCGATAAAGAATCATGCATAGTACAGGTAAGGAAGATATTAACCTCGAAGGAAAAGTGGATGAATACCCCAAGGAATCACAATTTACTGCTTCATGTTAGAATTATTTTTTTTTTGTCATATGTTTTTTAGAGGACTTGGTTAAGTACATTCAGTTGTAGTCCTTTTTTTTATAGGTTCTGTGATAATCTGTATTTACTTTAATAACCTAAATTAACTTTATGATATACATTGAAAAGGTAAACTAAAATAACATTTCCATGATACTGTATTATCTGACATTGATGTTCCTTATTTTATTTTTAACATTAATAAAGTATATAGATAAGTAATTATTTTTCTTACTTTTTTTTTTTTGTTATTATATACAAACCTAGTGACTCAATTTGACATTTACAACTATGGCTCTTCTGCCCTGCATTTTTGGTAGTAGATAATATGGAAGTTCCATGTAATGAGTGCTTTCTGTGCATAAATATTTCAGATAGACTGACACATATTCATTTTATGAGAGTGAGTCATTCTGAACTTTTTCTTAACTATTAATACATATTTCATCTTGATGGGCTTACTAACATTGTACACCACGTTTTTGGAAAAAGGAATATTTCTAGTTGCTGTGGATAAGGACCCAACTGGAATAGACCCTGACAGCACTTGGACGGCAAGCTCTTCATTGAAAAGGTTTCTATAATGATATAACTTTTTTTTTCAATTTATTTCTTAAAAGTGTTTAAATTTAAAATATATACTAAAAATGAAATAAAAAGTAATAATTATTAGTATGTTGGGCCAAGCATATAAGTAGGATCCCAATATATATTATTTTATAATAAAATATTGTTTTGATTTTTAAATTGGAAAATTTCTTAATAATTCCTTATTTATGAACAGAAAATATCAATATTTTTTTTAATTTTTTATGAATCATTATATATAAAATTTTTAATGTTAGAAGCTTCCTTAGAATAAAAACTTTGTTAAAGATGGAATTTAATTATTTTAAATGAAACCTAATTCAAATAACTAAAAAAACTAAAACTATTTGAGAAACATTGCAACCAAAGTTTATTGAAATATTTTTTTTAAATTATTATTCAATTTTGAAGTTAGATTTTTTTAAATATTTTTTAAAGTAACTTATATTTTATTAAACAACATTAAAAAATAAACTAAATAAGGCTAAAAATAATTATTACCTGAAACATTTAAAGGAACTACAAATAGAAAAGCAACGATAAAAAATAATAAATCAATTAAATTTTTAAAAAATGCTGGAAAAATGCCTCATTTTAAAGAAAATGATAATAATCTCCAACAAAATATCACCAATACTCATTTTACTTCAAACTCCACATTTTTTTCAACCAATAGGAACTTCATGAAGTACTTAACATGTTACCGAAATTATTTTTTCTACTACTGAAGAAGTTTTAAAAGTACTTAAAAATCTAAATTGTAAAAAGAGTTGCGGATATGATGAAATAGATATAAAAACAATAAAATTCTTGCAAAATATCATGTTGTTACTCTAACTTGTTTTATGTAATACTTACTTCTGGATAGCATATATTTCCAAATATTTTATGAACATGAACCTTTACTCCAATTTACGAAAAAGTAACATAAGTGATTTGTCTAACTATAGACTAATTTCTGTTTAAGTACTTCTATCTAAAATCCTTGAAAAGCTAATGTACAAGAAATTACTTTCTTACTTGAATCATATTAACTTCATATCTAAAAATCAGTACAGATTTCTTAATGCCCTAAATACCGATAGCGCATTAATAGAGTTTGCAAATTTCATTTACAACATGACGAACAAAAATAATTTTACCTTAGCTGTATTTTTAGGTATTTCGAAAGTTTTTGATTTAGTTGATCACGAAATATATAAACAAATTAAAATTTTTATGTATACAAAATATATCCCACAACTTTGTTAAATCCTATTTATCTAACCGAAAATCAATAGTTATATTAATAGTTTATGTAAACCAAGGGGTGTTTCATGGTTCAATTTTAGGACCATCACTATTTCTTATTTTTATTAAGGAATTTTGTAACTTAAAAATAAATGGTGAAATCATAACTTCTATGTATGACACAACACTTTTATACTCGTCAAACAATTTAAAAAGCCTAGAAAGTGAAATTAATGATAATCTTTGAGACCAAGACTGGTTTATTGATAATTCTTTGAACTTAAATATCGATAAAACAAAATTTATATTGTTCCTACTCACTAATAACAATGAAATAGACCTTAATATAACTTTTCATTTCAATACACGCTTAAAAGATTTAAGCTGCAAATGTAAGAAATTAGAATTCGTGACCAAGATAAAATACTTGTGTATACATATTGATTCAAACTTAAATTGAAAATGCTTGTAAATTACATAATAGAGCCGTGATGGCTCTGTGGATAGAGCATTTGCCTTCAAATACTGTGAACTGGGTTCGAATCCTGGTAATGGCTGGTTGATACGAATACTGCATCCAGCTTGCACCGACCACAATGCTGATGTAAAATATCCTCAGTGGTAGACGTATCATGAGTTAGTCTCCTTACCGTCAGGCTGACTGTGGGAGGTTTTTGTGATTTTCCTCTCCTTGTAACGTAAGTGCGGGTTAGTTCCATCAAAAAGTCCTCCACGAAAGGAAATTTCTCCCAATACTTGATTCAGGAGTTCCCTTGTCTTCTGGATTGGGTTCAAAATTACAAGGCTACAGAGTTGAATATTAGTTGTCGTAAACCCAAAAATTGGGTTAACTGTTCAATGACGGTTATAAAAAATTTAAAATTATAAAATAAAATTACATAATAAGAAAATAAAGATTTATCTTGAGCAGATTCTATGTAAAATTCAAAGTATTTCTTCTAACTTTATGTTAAGGATAAGTACTCTCTTAAATTTATTATGGCTTATCAGTTAAAAGTGGGGATTAAACTACTGACATAAATAAATATGTAATATTAAAGACAAATTTATTAAATTCTTACTAAATAAAATGAACAAATTATCCCAAAGCACTACCAGTTACTCACCATATTACCAGTCTGTAATTTGTTATTTTACAAACTATAACTACATCTTTACAGAAACCCTAATCTTTGTAACTAAAAAGACAAAACTAGCATGAAAAGACTCAACCAAATTTCTTTCATGTGCAAGCCTGACAAGAACATTTTTTAATCAATCTTTTCTATATTCATTGTCAAAATGTTTTAGTGTATTCCCTGCTAAATTCACAATGCAATTAACTTAAATAATATTAAAAAACTCTTAAGAAATTTTAATTTTTTTCTACCTAATTCTAAAGATATTTTCTTATAGTAATTCTATATAACCTCAATCTTTCATATATTTTTTTCCATAGTTATAATGTTGAGATTTTATGACTGAAAATTTTAACTTGCTTTATGCCACTCTTCAAGCTTTAAATTTTATATTTGCTTTTTGTTAATTTTTTGTTTCCATTCATATGTGTATGTTTTTTTATTGTTTTGTTTTATTTGTCATAACTCATAATCTATACAGTGATTCGGCTTAAGCATTTTAGCGTGACAAAAATCCCAAAAATTGTGGGGGACTTAATTTTAATTTCGTTTGATTCTGTGTAATATTCTTTGCTGGTTCATATAGGCACCTAAAAAGATATAAGCACAAAACTGTATTTTTTGTACATAAAGTTTAAAACTTTTTTGTTATCAACTTTATTTTGATCACATTTGATGTACTAGTGAAAAGAAATAAGAGATGATATACCCTATTGTCTAGATGAGTTGTCATACTTTTAAATAAGTTTAATTGAAAATTCTATACTTTTACATTTCTTACTTTTTAAGCCCCTTATAACTTATTAACTATTAGTCCCATTGACTTGATTTTGATGCCATTTGATTCAGCATAGAAATATACATAGGGAATGTATATTTGCCTCAAATGTCTATGTAGTAAATTTCAGTCCTTCTCTCTTTTTTACCCCCTCTCTTCCTCAGTAAATTAAAGATAGTATTTAATACCTAAGGAATAGGATCTAGGATTAAATCCCAGCTTTTAATGCAATTTTCAATTTTTAACTAATTACTTCAATGTTCGACTAAGAACGAGCCTATTTCTAAAGGTTCTTTTTCTTCACCGGATATATTTCAAGTTATTAAAATATAATGTTACATTTTCTGAATCATTCATAATTTTGTATAGTTATTACTTTAAAGTACTCTCAATTAATATAAGATGACTTGACTTTTTGGTAATATTTTAAAGGTTGCTTTCATTGTTTATTTTTAGATTTGATGATATGTACCACCTATATATTACATACAAGGATGGTGTCACAAAAAAGACTAGAGAAGCGGAATTGGAAAAATCTATTAGTTCTTGGTTTGATGTCAATGGAACTCTTTTACCAGATCTATTTGAGCCTGAAGTATCAAAGTTGCATTCCTCTTTATTAAATGAAAAGAAGAAGAAATGATTTTAAATTTGCTTTTGTAATATTTTATTTACTTAATTTGTTATTAAAATTATTTCCAAAAACAATTTTATTGCTTCTGTCTTTTCATTGTCTGCTCTAAATCTTTTGAACAAAATGTGTTTTAAACAAAAAATGTATTAACCAACATATGAATAACAAAAAATTCCTAAAAGGTTTTAAAACTGTTTTGCTTTAAAGCCTTAATTGGTGTACATTGTTTTGTACAAAAACCTCGGAGGAAAAAAAATGGGGGGGGGGTCTAAAACAAATTCAACTTCTATATTTTATTATTAATGATTTTAGATATCATTGTTTTTAATGTTAGGCTTCGTGAAATAAATAACTATGAAGCTATAATTAATCTAAATTGTGATAGCAATTATAAACTATTTAAGATAATTCTTGTAATAATTTGTTTCTTTTTAAAAAGAGTTTCTTCCCCATTTAGCGAACCAAATTTTTTTTTACCCAATGCTATAAAACTTATTTGTCCAAAGATAATTCGATATAGAGTCATTCTTAAACTTAGTAATGGTAAAAAAAAAAGTTTGTATTTTTAAAGTATGTATTTCTAAACTTGATTTTTGAATGAAAATGATCCAGAACATTAAAGAAATCAATTGAGCAGCTCTTGCTTTTTAAAACATGATTTTCATAAAATTTTTCGCTTGTAAACTAATCATCTGATTTTGTTCAACTTTTTTTGCACTCACATTTCCTATGGCAGTTTTAACTTGATTTCATAAAAAAAACGTGTTCATAATTAATGAAATATTCTTCGCATGCATTAAATTTCTGTTTGCTTATATTGTTATCATTAATTGTTAGACAGAATATTTTGCCCACAATCCGAGTTTAATAAGTCAAAAATTAAGAACTTATTCAAAAATATTTCAACATGCAATTAAGTTGCTAAGTGAGCTATTATATTTTTAATTAAATCTGATAAGATCGGAAAAGAGCTTCTGCTAGTTGTGCTGATTTTGTCTAAAATGTTGAAAAAATAACATTTAACAAAAAACAAGTAACAAAAAATCTGAAAATCAATTGGCAAAAAAAAAAAAATAATAATTAGTAAGCATTAAAAAAGGATACCGATTGTTTCATTTTTTGCTGATAAGGTAAGGAATAATATGAGTAAAACTTGCGTGCGATACGAAATTCCTTTTTTTCGTCAAATATCTTTTGTAAAATGAAGTCTGAGCCTCCAGACGTCCACTTTGGCTCACCTACACGAACTCGTCTCTTCGCGGTTCTCTGTTGGGGCCCTTTGCTGCCTTCTACAAATTTGCCCTTTAATCTACAACATTTTACTGTTATCAGTGTAAAGCGGGAGTGGTAGAAATAAGGGATACGTCGGAAACCCGGCTATATTTTCATTACCCGGTTATTACCTACTGACTCAATTTTAGGACCCGATACATTTCATTGTAACTGTCGATGAACAGCGAACTCAATTTTGAGTTTTAGACTACCAATGTTCCACTCCGCAGCCTTGTAATTCTAAAATCAATCCAGAAGACAAGTATTGGAGGGCAATTTACCTTCTTGGAGGAATTTTTGATCGAACTAATCCGCATTTGCGGTACATGGAGAGGAAAACCTCATACGGTTAGTTAGACTGCAAGGGGACTTTAACCAACACCTCCTAGAATAAGGAAGGCCTCAGCACGGATCAATTTAGTAGTCCGATGTGACGAAGTTAACTGCGCAGTTGATGAAAAATAAGAAAGATGTCATTACGTTCGGGGTACTAAGCTGCGCAGTGTTTGAAAATACGAAATATGTCATTACATTTGGACTACTAAAGGATATTTATGGTAACCCGTGCAGAGGCCTACTCTTTTCTAGGAGGTGTTGCTTTAACCCATTATCCTTCTACCACTGAGGGTATTTTTTACGTCAGCACTGTGGTAGGTGCAAGCCGAGTGCTGAATTCTTATCCACCTGGCTGGTCAATCAGCCATCGCTGTGATTTGAACCCGGGTGTGTAATATGAAATCATCATGCGATATCAGAACCCTTTAGCGATTTGGCGCAATTACATCACAAAGATGGAAAACTGAGCGTGTTACGATATTTCGAAAACAGTATACTGTTTTCGCTCAAGGTTATAACCTTGAGCAAAAACGTTAAAAAATTGTCTTACAGTAAATACTGAATCGTTTTTAATATGAATGCGTGAGCCGCGATTACTCGGGGGGATAGAGCTTTCGCCTTCCAATGGTGTGAACCAGGTTCAAATCCCAGCGATGGCTGGTAAATACGATTGCGAAGGTAGATTACGAAGAAAATCACTTCGAAATAAAAAAATAAAAAACATGGAAAACAATGAATGCATTGAAATAAGTTTCAGAAAAGAATGGTAGTTACATGCGAAACTATTTATTTTTAAAGCAAGAAGTAGAGGCTGCGCCACCGTGATGTCACTGACTGAAATCAGAAGCTCGGAGCGGGATGAGTCTCTTCAAAGGAGTGACCTAGCCGCGTTCTATTCACTCTTTAGCCCTGGTGAAAACCAGAATAAAAACCGGACATTAACTCGTCGCGATGCTGCTCATTAAAAAATGTATAAAATGTATTTTATTATCGATAATTAAAAATATCTTAATTAATTATCTGTTGTGTTTATGTCCCGCAGTGGACTGATCGTTAAGACACGGTTCCCAGCAGATCACCGAAGTCAAGCATCACTGGCTACGGTCAGTGTGCGGTTGGGTGACCACTTGGATCAGCCTGCGTAGGGACCGAGGGTGTGCGGTATTGGTCCTCGTTAAACNATCTTTTGAATGAAACAAAAATGTGCTAACAAACATATAAATAGCAAAAAATTCTTAATAGGTTTTTAAACTGTGTTGTGCATTGTTTTGCACAAAAACCTCCGAGGAAAAAAAAATGGGTGGGGTTCTAAGGCAAATTCAACTTCTATATTATATTATTAATGATTTTAGATATCATTGTTTTTAATATCTGGCTTTGTGAAATAAATAACTATGAAGCTATAATTAATCTAAATTAAGATAGCAATTATAAACTATTTAAAATAATTCTTGTAGTAATTTGTTTCTTTTCCAAAAGAGTTTCTTCGTCTTTTAACGAACCAAAAATTGTTTTTACCCAATGCTATAACACCTATTTGTCCAAAGATAATTCGATATAAAAATAATTCTTAAGCTTGATAATTGTAAAAAAAACTTCGTGATTTTTGAATGAAAATTATTCAGAACGTTTAAGAAATCGATCGAGCAGCTCTTTTATTATTTTTCATAACATTTTTCGCTCGTAAACGAATAATCTGATTTTGTTTAAATTTTCTTGCACTCACATTTCCTAAGGCAGTTTTAACTTGATTTCATAAATTTTCTTTTGATTTCATAAAAAAACGTATTCATAATTAATGAAACTTTCGTTGCATGCATTAAATACTGTTTGCTTTTATCGTTATGATTAATTAAATATTGGACATAATATTTTACCCACAATCTGAGTTTAATAAGTCAGAAACTAAGAACGCATTCAAAAATATTTCTACATGCAATTAAGTTGTGAAGTGGGCTATTACATTATTAATTAAATCGGAAAAGTGCTGCGAGTATAAATGTGCTGATTTCGTCTAAAACATTGAAAAAATAACATTATTATTATAACAGCAATATTCATATCAATATTTTCATTTTAAAAAAAACAAAAAATCTGAAAATCAATTGGCAAAATTAAGCAAAAAAAAATTAGTAAGCGTCAAAATAGGATAGTGATTGTTTCATTTCTTCTGATAAGGCAAGGAATAATATGAGTAAAGCTTGCGTACGATACGAAATTCCTTTTTTTTTATTATCAAATATCTCTTGTAAAATGAAGTCTGAGCCTCCAGAAATATTTAAAACCAGTTGCCTGCTGCTCCCACTTTGACTCCTTTTCGGCCTTCGACAGTTTTGCCCTCTAATCTACAGCATTTTACTGTTATAAGTGTAAAGTGGGAGTAGTAAAAATAAGGGATACATCGGAAACCCGACTAGATTTTCATTACCAGGTTATTACCTAGACTCAATTTTAGAGCCTGATACATCTCTATTATAATCGTCGTTGAGCAACAGACTCAATTTTGAGTTTACGACTACCAATGTTCCACTCCGCAGCCTTGTAATTTTAAACTCAATCCAGAAGACAAGGGAATTCTTAGTTTTCTTAGGGGGCAATTTGCCTTCGTGGAGGAATTTTTGATCGAACTAACCTGCATTTGCGTTACATGGAGAGGATAACCTCATAAGGTTAGTTTGACTGCAAGGGAACTTTAACCCATGATCCTTCTACCACTGAGGGTATTTTTTTACGTCAGCACTGTGGTAGGTGCGAGCCGAGTGCGGAATTCGTATCCACCTGGCTGGTCAATCAGCTATCGCTAGGATTTGAACCCGGGAGTGTAATATGAAATTATCATGCGATATCAGAACCCTTTGGCGACTTGGCACAATTACATCACATAGATGAAAAACTGAGCTTGTTACGATATTACGAAAAACAGTATACTGTTTTCGCTCAAGGTGGAAGATCCTGGTCTCCTCGATGTAACGCAAATGTGGGTTAGTTCCGTAAGAAAATCCTCCACGGAGGCAAATTTCTCCCAATACTTGATCCAGGAGTTCCCTTGTCTTCTGGATTGGGTTCAAAATTACAAGGCTTCGTAGTTGAACATTAGGAGTCGTAAACCTCAAAATTGGGTCGGCTGTTCAAGGACGGTTATAAAGTAAAATATGAATGCATAATTAACTTATGTTCTAAAATAATTTTGTTTTTAGATGTTTGTTTTTTTAGAAACAAAAATTTAATTAAATTAAATAAATTAAAATTTAAGGCAATCTTATCAATAAGTATTTGTATTGAATACTTAAAAATTAATGTTACAATCAAACTATTTTATTTCATGTTGGCATGGTATTTTTCTTTTTTTAGAATTCTTCACTTTAAAAGTAAACGTGGCAAAGAAAATAGATGGAAAACATTAAAGAACATAATTCTGACTTTCATTTAAAATAAATTATGGCCAGGAGTATTTTAATTACATGAAACAATGAAATTACCTTTTCTTTGAAAGTTACAAATTACCTTTTCCTTTGAAAGTTGTTAGATTCAAAAGTGCACACTCGGATCAATGTATTCAGACCCAGATAGGTTATTGTTCAACTATGATGTTATAGGTTGATGTGCTACAGGGCTATAAAGAAGGACTGGTTCATTCTTTACTCAAAGCTGATGCTACGATTCCCCCTCGTGACGTCACGCCGCACACAGATCTCAAAAATCACATTTAAAGGATATGAAGACTTTGCTTTTTATACTTTCTGTACGAAATGAGTTGAATGTTCGACTCTTTTCTGGTAATAGCTGTCAAACTTTACACTGCTAACAAATTACTTCTGTTCAAAACTATAGTATTCATACATTTTCTTGGTATTTATAATAGTATTAAAAATAACATTTTAAAGTTAGAAAAACATCTCAATGTTTGTCGTCATCGTTTCATGATCGTTTTCTAATTCTAGTTTTTAACTTTTACTGTTAAATAAAAAGAAACAAGTAAGAACGCTTTTATATTAACATGCCCGATAGCAATATGTAACTATAAAAGTGACCTTATAGTGTGTTAATTGGGATACCTAATTTTAATTTTTTTCTTATATATAATTATAATAGCAAATTTTTCTTATACATTATCTCTAGGAAACAAAAATCTTAAATGCTAATTACTAAAAATATAATCTTTGGGCATAAAATAATGGAAATATTGCACTTGCTCATAAATATTTAAAATTAAGGCGCTATAATTAAAGCACATTAATATTTTGAATAATGGCATTAAAAAATATATTATGAAATTGGAAGAGTTTTTAAGCATCAATAACTCTTATTTTTGAAGTTCAGGTTTTTATTTTCTTTGATCTTGTACATTTTTTTCTTGTTTTCTGTTTAAAGTCACGAGACGGTATCAATTTAAATGACGAAATTAAAAGTTCTTAAATGTCTAAAGGAAAAGCAAAATGATTTTTTATTCACAGCTGGATAAATTCTTCTAGTACATTTTATAATTCGTTTGATGTCACTTATATATTTTCTGATGTAAAACATAGGGAATTTACTTTTTTGTGTTTTATAATAATTCTTGTTGGTGATATTTGACTGTTAAATTTTTTCAATCAGACGAGAAGAAAATCACTTCGAAATAATAAAAAAATATGGAAAACAATGAATGCATTGAAAAAAATTTCAAAAAAGAATGGTAGTTACATGCGAAACCATCTATTTTTAAAGCTAGAAGTTGATGCTGCGCCGCCGTAACGTAACTGACTGAAATCAGAAGCTCGGAGCGGCAATAGTCTCTTCAAAGGAGTGACCTAGCCTCTCTCTCTATTCACTCTTTATAGCCCTGGTGAAAACCAGAAGAATAAAAATCGGACATGAACTCGGTGCTCATTAAAAAATGTATTTTATTATCGATAATTAAAAATATCTTAATTAATTATATGTTGTGTTTATCTCTAAGAAAAAAGTGTAAATTTCAAGATGGCAAAATGAAACTTCGGAATATGAAGTTCGAGTGCAATGGACATAGATGTGCAGAAATATAGCATAAATTCCGGGGAAAAAAATCAACAAACAATTCATTAGTTAAAAAACTAGTAAAAAATTCGAAAATTAATTTTTAGGTGCAGATGCAACCAATCTGGTCACCATTTGCACACATTCGTGCTATAAATCTCCTATGCAAAATAAATTTCTGTATCTGAAACACACAAACACATATTTTATATGTATAGTGGTATTTTATTTATGTCGCTCTAGAGCAGCTTAAAGTGTTATTGATAACGACGTCAGAAAAGATCCTATAGGATGATCTGAAGACATTCCATCACTCCAAAATTGAGATCCTCTGCAAAGGGGAGGGATCCCCATCCTACCTTGTTAGCCTTAACCCATTTTGACCTAGCGTGACATATATGTTACGGGAAGTGCGAGAATTCTTCTGATTTCAAAAAGGACTGTTTTTACACCAAGTAAATGTTTTTTTTTTATCATTTTCAAAATTCAAGTGGTAGCTAAAGGAAGAAAATATTCATTTAATTAAAAAAAAATAATTTTTTTAATAGGAATTTTATTTTTTGCGTCACGGCATGTAAAAAAAATTAGGCTTTAAAGTACTTGTGCTGGAAGTCGAGCACTTTACGGTTGAACAGTTTAAGGCTGTTTTTTGAAGGCTCCGTCGTAATATGAAATGTTTTTTTACGAATAATATGCTATTTTTATAACTGCTGTGAGTTTTCAACTGTTACTCATGACTGTTAAGTCAAGGTTAGCCTAAGGCCAGCACTGTCAACGATTATTCTGAAAATGGCGCAATGTCATTATGGAGAAAAGCCTCAATTTTATGAAAATAAAAAGGGTTTGTGGTCTAATTTTTTAATATTTAAAAACTAACTCCAATGCTGCATTACCTGGGCTCATAAAAATTTGCAAAAACTGAGAATAAGGCAGTGATTTTGATAATTTACATCTTAATAGAAATATGTCCCCAAATTGTCAATTATTAAAAAAAGTTTTTTAACTTTTAAAATATTTAAGTTTTTGTCTGTTCACGTCAAAATTATAAATATACGTAGTTTAAAATCATCACATTGCTTCAAGTGTAGCAAACCTCAGTTCTTTCAGAATTGAAAAAAAGAAGAAGTAGTAGTAGTAAAAGAAAAATTTAAGTAGTACTTTTTTGTGTCTCAATTTGTAACTTAAAATATCATCAGCATTGCTTACATTAAATTTTTTCTCCTTTGTCTCTCTTTTAACTTTATTTATAGCTCTGGTGTTAAAATAATCCTCATTTGATTTAATAAAGCGCTTAAAAATTAAAATAACTTAATTTACAAAACTTGCAAATTTAAGAAGAAGAAAAAAAAAAGCAAGCAAATATATTTTTTTAAATTCTTTTAGTTTTTGAGAAAACTGAAAAATTCTTTGCACTTTACCCAAAAATGTCTGAATACAATTTAGAATGTTCTCCTCAAACAAATACCGGGAAAACCACTTTTATCACTATCTCAATGCGTATGTAATAATCGTGTTTCTTAAAATTTGATAGCAAGGTACTTATTAAGTGAAATAAAACCTTATCGTAAAAAGCTCATTACTTAAATCTTGATTACTCATCATGTAGTGTGAGCAACTAGACAGTTCTTAATACGTTATTGCAACACAACTATTGTCAATAACTAGTTGAAATTATTTCAACCTTTCCTTATGAATTTCGTATTTTAGTTTGAATATTATGTCATTGCTATTCTCAGTCAAAATTTCAAACGTAAATGCAATTATGGTTAATACTAAATCATATCAAACTATTTAAACCAAAAATCGAAAGAAATCATTTTCGTGTTAAACTTGTTTTGTTTATGTTATTTAGACATTTTGTATAAGAAGCAGTCCAAAAACTTAGAAAATATTTGACAACAACGCATCCGTGAAGAATTCAATTTGAATAATCAAGAGTAAGTACTTTTGAATTTTAAAAATAATTCCTTTTTCTTATAATTATTTTGCAAACTTGTCATTCGTTGCTTTTATGTTAAATTTCTGAGTTTTTTTAAATTTTTATTACCACCTTTATTCTGATTTTTTGCTTTTTTTACAACTGAAACAAGATGAACTTTGAAATAAAAAAACATAATAATATAAAAGTTATATCTAAATGGAAGCATTTTAGTTAAGATTAATGTTTCAGCAATTCTTAAAAACAGATTTTATAAAGTCAATTATAAAATATCATATATATCAATGTCATATATAACAATTCTTTGAGATTGTTCTCATTTTAATAATAAAATATTCAAACTTCGAATATTTTTGTAGATAGTCATAAAGTGTTCTTTTTATCTATCTTTTATCTTTTTGGGGTTATTTTATGTTTTTATTTTCAATAAAAAAGAACTTTTCATTTTAATTTATAAATCATAGTGATAATGATATAAATTTACAAGGAACTGAAATAACAACCGGGTTATTTCGAGGCAAGTGGGTTAATTTTTGATTCATCCCCAAACTAACGTTTGATACATAAGTCCACGTGATTCATCATTATCTTCTTAAAATTTTAACCTTCTCTTAATCTATCGAGCAATGTTAATAATAATAAACATGTAAGTGCTTTACGATATTTTGAGGAAAGTGATTTAGTTACTATTTCCTTTCGATTGCTAATGCTATGCATGCTAAAATAGAATTTAAAATGACTGATAAAACAAAATTTATTTTAGGAAAACAAATTGTGCAATTAGGTAGCTTATTATACATAAAGATAAAAAATATATAAAAAGCTCAACTTTAAATTTTTTATCGCTCACGTTGATTTTCTCATTGCATGGCAATATTCATTTAAAAAGAATGATAAGACACAAATTGTAAATTCATTTCATTTTTTTATAAATAAAACATAGATACAATCTATGAATTCAAATACAGAAAAATAAATATTTGTATGAAAACGTTAGTGTCGACAAATCTCTTTAACAGCTTAAACGAATTTTAATTAATTAATGAAAAAAATTAAATAAAAGATTAATATTAATTTTTTTCAGGCAAAATTCTTTAGATGGGAAACATGATGCATTTTACTCTGAGTATTGTTGTGTCTTTATTATTTCAGGTAAGTTATAGTTTTACTTACAACGATAAATCTTTTCTTTAATTTCAAGAAAATGCTTCAACAATTCTATAAAGATTGAATGGGTTTAAATAAAATCTAAATGGGATTTCTTAAAACATGTTCTCACACTTCAAATAAAATACTAAAAATAATTATTTAATTTTACAAAATTTTTTTATAATTTCAAAGTTTGCTTCTTCGCCTAAGTTTTTTTTTTTTTTTTTTTTTTTTTTTTTAAATTAAGCTCTCATCTAAACATTTCATACTGCTTGCAAATGTGGGGATTTATCAACATGTGAAAATCTCCAAATGTGAACATTTTATCAACAAAATTACACAAAAATCAACATTTTTTTAAAATCATTTTTGCGTAAAAAGTATATTTTTTGAAGCTAATGAAAATAATATAAAAATAGGGGTATTCAAAAAAGAATTATGAGCCCTATTCAACAAATAATGCTGTTTAATTTCGGTTGAGACATTGGTGACCTCACGATTCAAGCGTTCCCAGTTGAGGCGGTAAAGGAAAATTGTTCAGTGGATGATGGTATTTGGTTATTATGTTGGTCTCAAGACCTACCACCTAAAATGGGACAACCTCCAATCACTGTCTCAAATCAGAGCGTCTCAAGCGGTACTGTACAGATACATTTATAATTAAAAAATAATAACTTAAGTTTAAAGAATGATTTTGGCTATAAAAAACTGCGGCATGTAATTAAATTTTTTCATAAATATTTTTAAATTTACTTTATCCGTAAAATTCTAGGGGCAGTATAATGATAAGCCACATTTTTACCGAATGTTTTCTGGTGAAAACTCAAAAGAATTTCGACGGTAATGAGATGTTTCTGTGTTAGCTTTTATTTAGTGGAAATCCCGATATTTGTGACGTACATATTCGGAGACAATACACAGGAACAATTCGATATAAAAATGACATCTTTGAAAAAAGTGCAAATCGCTAAATTACGGCTGCTTAAGGCAGTAAACTTAATTGTGACGCAATAAATAAATAAATTTTGTATTTTAAAAGCTTTTGTTTAAAGTATTTTTTTATGTACGTATTCTTGAGATTCTAATAATACATTTTTTCTCACAAAAACTGCATTTCTTAAACATATTATTACTTATGGTATAGAGATATTTGAGCTTGGTACCAGACAGTCTCAAACCGCCATCACACGTCACCGCTGTGGACACCTGAAATCACTGAGGTACTCTGGAGGAGAAAAGTGTTTTGCCCTCTGTACCAAGTGCTCTTCGGTCCAACCTGAACATCTACTGGACTGCATCGGTCTTTTAAAACAAGACCTTATAGAACGACTTTGAACGGATTTGAAAGAAGAAGATATTTAAGCGTACGCCACTTCACTTACCTGTTCACTGGAAACCCATCAATGATCAATTAGTTACAGATGCAACCAATAGGAATACATTTCTATTAAGATAGGAATACGAATCGTCCTATAGGAATAGTGCAAACGGAAATTGATTGATTGATAGAGAAACTATTAGTTAAAGTTATCTAGTTCAGCCTCTGACTTGGGCATCTCTATACTGAGACATAAATACTAAAAATGAAATTCAGTTTAAAATTGCCCATTTGCATAATTTTATATTTACAATTCGTATTTTAAGCTACCTCTTTTATTTAAGTAAAACTTGTTTTTCAAGCTATCATATGTTTAATAAAATGTCAAACATAATGTAAGTTCAAACAGAAACCATGAAAAGTTGAATTCTAACAACTAATATATACTAGGTTTGTATCTGTTATACACCAAGAGAATGCTCCAGTAAGAGAGATTGTGGTCCGAATGAATGTTGCGTAGTAGGTAAGTATTCCATAGATTTTATTAAAAGTTGCAAATAATTCATTGTTATAATAACTTCGCATTTAATGCATGCATAAATTAATGGCGTAAGTTCTTTATTCTTTTCGGTTTATTTAGAACAATATTGTCAAAACAAGACTTTATTTAAAACCTTAAGTCATTATTCCCTGAACCCTTCTTAGAATTCTAGTTCCTTGAAAATAATCATCTAATTTTATCTTTTTTGCACTTTTCTACTAACTTTATTTGGGTTTAATACAATAACAGAGGAGATCTTGTTCTGTGATTGCTGAACGCGAATACGTTTCATACCATAAACTCGAGCAACTAGGGATAATTATTTTCGCAATTTTTATGAAATTTAAGTTTGCAAAAAAAAAAAGAAAGAAAAAAAANAATTCCCTCCGGGGTTTCGAAGCGTTATAGAAAAAAAAAAAAAAAAGAAGACTAATATAAGTGATAAAATTTTTCAAATTATTATTAGTCACAAATATGAGTTTTTTGAAAATGATAATGCCTTTATGTAAAGTTTAAATGGCCATTTAAAAAAGGAGAGTTTTAAAAAATGATCAGAGAAAGAAATTCCCTGTTTTTAGCATCTTTAACCCAGTTATTTTATAGAAATTACATTGTGTTTTACTCATCGGGCCAATGTACCACTTATAAGAGTTATTTTAACGAAATGATTGAACTGAATTAATTAAAAAAAATAAATAATAATTCTAATTCTAAGTTAAGTGAATGAACTTTAAAAAAAAAAAAAAAAAATTATCTCGGAAAAAAAAAGTTCAAAATCTATAAAAGTTAAATTTTCAATTAAATCTCATTTTATATGACATATAGTCACAGGGAAACAGAGAAATGACCGAAAACAAGTAGCTAATATTTGATTTTACAGCTAATACCAAGCCATTCAACTTAGAGAGAAATTGAATAAAAATAACCACTTTTTTTATCAAAGTATTGAACATACTATATTATTAATAAAAGTATTAATTATTTCATTTGATTTTAAGGAACATTGTTTTCTTCTGAAAAAAAAGTTTATACAGTGCACCAAAAAAAAAAAAAAAAAAAAAAAAAAAAAAAAAAAAAAAAAAAANAAAAAAAAAAAAAAAAAAAAGAGGAATACCCTGAATAACTTTAGTTTTAATGGATTTTCACGTTCTAGGACTCCATTTTAATGGCGACAGGGGGTGATCTCAAATATGCTAATTAATTAGGGTAGACCATAATTTAAGTTACAAAATCAGACACAAAAAAGCAAAAAAAGTTAATTTTATTTTAAGTCCTCAAAGTTAATTTTATTTTATGCCTATTTCATCATATCTTGAGAACTTTTAAAGCGAATTAATAAATCTTTGCACACAATTATAAAATTCGTTTATCCAAAGATTACAGGCAAAAAATAAATTTGAGTAAATATTTACTATTCTTTATTTCATAAAAGTCGTAAAACTTTAGAATTGTAAAGTATAAAAATTTTTACCTAATTTTTTTAATCATAATCTAACTTTACATGGCGAAATACAAAATATGAGCAAAATTGGTTGAATAGCTCCTGAGAAACCAAACTTTAAGTATAAGATTTTTTTTAAAAATTAAATTTCTCAGGAACTATTCAACCGATTTTGAACAAATTTTGCAATTTGCCATGTAAAATTAGATATTTTAAAATTATGCGAAAAATTGTATACCTTACAATTCAAAATTTTTCCGACTTAATAAAATAATAAATACGGCTTAATAAAATAATAATAAATATTTACTAACATTTATTTTTTGTATGGATATATTTTTGGATAAACGAATTTTATAGTTGCGTGCAAAGATTTTTCAATTCGCTTAAAAAGTTCTCTAGATATGGCGAAATACGTAAAAAAAATTGACATTAGGGGAGTCGAAACTTTGGACCGCTCCCCTGATCCAACTATGGGGACCATATTTCCCAGATTGCGGCTGCCTCCTATACTTAGGGGTAGAAAATCAGAATCCGTCGAAAAAAAGGTATGTTTATCCCCGGAAAGAACTTTTTTGTGCCTGATTTCGTAACTTAAAATATGGTCTGCATTAAATAGTTAGCATATTCGAGGTCACCCTTCGAGCCATTAAGATGGAAACCTAGAACACAAAGATACGATCATTAGATAAAAAGTTATTCAGTATGGTTCGTTTTCCATTGTACATTAGTAAGTAACACTTATACAAAAAATCAAAGTTAAACTTTTCAAACCTCCTTCTACTTTATTTACACTACAGTGATAGCATTTCATGAGCTTTTTATTCTAGATACAGCAGCTCAAAATGCGTATTTAAGAAAATGGCTTAAAAATGCATATTTAAGAAAATGAAAATATAAATATATATTTTTTCTTCAAAATTCTTATATGGAAATTTAAAAAAAACAAACTAATAGATTCAAATAAATTCGTAATGGTATAACCATTTGCCTACAGAACTTAATAATTTTTTTTAAAAATTAATCTTTTTAGAAAAGACTATGCAAATTAAAAGTTTTTACAAGGTTGTCACGGGTCTAATAAATTTTTAATATTGATTTCTAGAAACCATTTTATCGTTTAGTATTCTGAATACAAAGAGATCAGTTGCAAAGTAATACCTTCAATATACTCAACATTCCAATCCCAAAGTCCTGGAACTTAGTCCGTAATGATTATGCTTAGTTAAAAAAAAGTAAAGAAAAAGTTAGCGAGAAATTTCTTATTCAGTTAAGTTTGAGTATAACACTTGAATTGAAAAGCACATTTTTTTTAAAGTATCCATTTCCTATACACGCTTTTTGAGTTGAGACAATTTTCTTAAACATGCATTTCGAGCTATGTCCATTTTTTAAAACATGCATTCTGAGCTGTGTCCATTTTCTAAAACATGCATTTTAAGCTATGTCCATTTTCGTAAGCTTGCATTTTGAGCTGCGCCCATTTCCTTCACTTTTGTCCTTGGATCATGCAATATCACGTGATGAAATTTTTCCATATAGTTGTTGTCAATAAGACATATTAAGTAATAACAAGATGCATAATCCAAGATATTATCCAACTATTTTTGTAAAAAATATGGTGTTTTCTCATGACAATAACACAGTATTTATTAAAGAAAAAACTTATTGTATAACTTAAATAGCAGCTAAAATAAAAAACTTTAACATTGATTTTATCTTTATAGATTACCACTCTTTAAGATAGAGTATAACCACCTGCACTTGGCTGGCAATGAACGTGTTAAACACAACCATTTTGAGCTGTTTCTATTTTCCTAAACGCGCTTTTTGAGCTATGCTCAGAATAAAATGCTCAGTGACTATTTAGTTTACAATAACATAACTTAGATTGACTGTGAAAAATCATATCAAACTAAATTGAATATCTTGCCCTAACTAAACAAGTTTAATCCATTTCCTCCTATTTCATTAATATTATGAAGAAAGATTTTGTTTAAAAGCTAAAAGATATCCATTATTTTCAGGTAGGACACGTTACTCCATTCCTGAATGTAAGCCGAATGGAAGAGTCGGAAATACATGTCTTCGAGGAGCAGAATCAGAAGATTTAACACTATATTACCCAAATGGGCAACGTGAACTAGAAGGTGTTTATACTCTGTTTTGTCCCTGTGATCAAAATTTAGTTTGTAAATCAAATAGGTGCACTGTGTAATTTTTTTAAAACTAAAACACTTATTTAAAAAAAATGATGACTTGTAATGTAAGAAAATGCACCAATTCAATGAATAAAAACTTAATGCAAATATGTAATAATAGAGAATATTGAGATAAGAAAGCTTTCTCTTAAGAAAATCTAACTAGATCTGGCTTTTGGATTTTTAAACCTCAAAACATGCAACAATATGGAAAATTTAGTCCTAATAGAATAGGCAGGAGAACAGCCAAAGGTTTAGTTCCTTAATATTGAAAATAAAAAAAATAATTAAATACAAAATTACTTTTAAAAAATTTACTTTAAATGTGCAAAAGAAAAAAAAACCCTATATCATAGGAGTTTTTCCTTACCAAGATATATATTTAATAATGTAGGCAGGAGAGTTACTGAAAACATATGTATCACTTTTTGTATATTTTCCCATATCTCAGGATTTACTTAAGCGAATCGAAAGGTTTTATAAAGGATAGTTAAAGGAAGTGAAAAGTAATTTTTTTATATCTTTTTATTATTTTTTAATATTTATTTTACTAATAGTCTAATACTTTTCGATTTATAAGGAATTTTAAACTAAATAATTCAATGACAAAATCTTAATTGCCAAAATCACAAATTATTTCGTTCAAATTCATAATGAAGTAAAAACTTGTATTGGCGATCGAAATGGGCTGCAGGTGGCGTAGAGCAGAACTCTTTTCCTATGGCAACACTTCACATGCTTTCCCCATTAGCGTGTGGAAAGTCATAGAGGAAGGAAGTACGTTAGTTTCTCTCTGGATTTTCATATAGATTAAAATCTTTTAACTTGAGAAACTATATGGAACTGAAAACTACATTAAACATAGTTCTAAATAAAAGTATCATGGAAATTTTAAGAAATATTTTTATTATATAAAAANGCATTTTAAGCCATCTCTTTTATTTAAGTATAACTTGTTTTTCAAGCTATCATATGTTTAAACAGAAACCATGAAAATGTTGAATTCTAACAACTACCATATACTAGGTTTGCATCTGTAATACACCAAGAGAATGCTCCAGTAAGAGAGATTGTGGTCCGAATGAATGTTGCGTAGTAGGTAAGTATTCCATAGATTTTATTAAAAGTTGCAAATAATTCATTATATTATAATAACTTCGCATTTAAGTTCTTTACTTTTTATGGTTTATTTAAAACAATATTGTCAAAACAACTTTAAGTCATTATTCCCTGAACTCTTCTTAGAATTCTAATTCCTTGAAAATAATCATCTAATTTTATCTTTTTTGCACTTTTCTACCAACTTTATTTGGGTTTAATGCAATATTTCTACGTGTCCTTAACAAGGGAGATCTCCCAGGGTCTTGTTCTGTGATTGCTGAACGCGAATACGTTTCATACCGTAAACTGGAGCAACTTGGGATAATTCTTTTTCGCAATTTTTATGAAATTTAAGTTTGCAAAAAAAAAAAAAGAAAAGACAAATATTAAGTGATAAAACTTTTCAAATTATTATTAGTCACAAATATGAGTTTTTTGAAAATGATACTGCCTTTATGAAAAGTTTAAATGGCCATTTAAAAAAGGAGAGTTTTAAAATGTTAGATCAGAGAAAGAAATTACCTTGTTTTTAGCATCTAGTTATTTTATAGAAATTACATTGTGTTTTACTCATCGGGCCAATGTACCACTTATAAGAGTTATTTTAACGAAGTGATTGAACTGAATTAATTAAAAAAAATAAATAATAATTCTAATTCTAAGATAAGTGAATGAACTTAAAAAAAAAAAAAAAAATTTTATCTCGGAAAAAAAAGTTCAAAATCTACAAAAGCTAAATTTTCAATTAAATCTCATTTTATATGACATATAGTCACAGGGAAACAGAGAAATGACTGAAAACAAGTAGCTAATATTTGATTTTACAGCTAATACCAAACCATTCAACTTAGAGAGAAATTGAATAAAAATAACCATTTTTTGTATCATAGTATTGAGCATACTATATTATTGATAAAAGTCTAAATTATTTCATTTGATTTTAAGGAAAATTTTTTTCTTCTGAAAAACAATATCTGTATAGTGCACCAAAAAAAAAGGACCACCCTGAAAAATTTTTGATCTAATGATCAGATTTTCACGTTCTAGGATTCCATTTTAATGGCTTGAGGGGATGACTTCAAATATGCTAATTAATTAGGGTAGACCATAATTTAAGTTACGAAATCAGACACAAAAAAGTACTTTTTCTAAATAAACATATCTTTCTTTCAAGGGATTCGGATCTCTGACCCCCAAAATATAGGGGGTAGCCGCAATCTGGGAAATATGGTCCCCAAAGTTTGGTCAGGAGATTGGTCCAAAGTTTGGACCCTCAAAGTTATCGGAACTATTCAACCGATTATTAAAATTTATTGGATTAATTAAATTAAATTAAAGTTTATCGGAAACTATTCAACCGATTTTACTCAAATTTTTATTTTGCCATGTAAAATTAAATACTTTAAAATGATTTGAAAAATTGTATATCCTTACAATTAAAAATTTTTTTCGTCTTGATAAAATAATAAATATTTACTAAAATTTATTTTTTGCATAGATGTTATTTTGGATAAACGATTTTATTGTTGTGTAAAAAGTTCTCGAGATATGGCGAAATACGTAAAAAATAAAATTGACATCAGGGGGGTCGAAACTTTGTACCGCTCCTCTGACCAAATTATGGGGACCATATTTCCCAGATTTCAGCTAACATCTATACTTAGGGGGTCAAAAATAAGAATCCGTCGAAAAAAAGGTATGTTTATTCAGGAAAAGTACTTTTTCGTGTCTGATTTCGTAACTTAAAATATGGTCTGCATTAAATAATTAGCATATTCGAGGTCACCCCTCGAGCCATTAAGATGGAAGTCTAGAACACAAAGATCCGATCATTAGATAAAAAGTTATTCAGTGTGGTTCGTTTTTCATTGTGCACACTGTACATTAGTAAGTAACATTTATAATAAAATTCAAAATAAAACTTTTCAAACCTCCTTCTACTTTATTTATATTACAGTGATAACATTTCGTGAGCTTTTTATTCTAGATACAGCAGCTCAAAATGCGTATTTAAAAAAAAAAAGGCTTGAAAATGAATATTTAAGAAAATGAAAATATACATATATATTTTTTCTTCAAAATTCTCGTATGGAAATTTTTTTAAAAAATAAACTAATAGATTCAAATAAATTCGTAATGGCATAACCATTTGCCTACAGAACTTAGTAAATTTCTTTAAAATTAATCTTTTTAGAAAAGACTATGCAAATTAAAAGTTCTTACAAGGTTGTCACGGTTCTTATAAATTTTTAATATTGATTTCTAAAAACCATTTTATCGTTTAGTATTCTGAATACGAAGAGATCAGTTGCAAAGTAATACCTTTAATATACTCAACATTCCAATCCCAAAGTCCTGGAACTTAGTCCGTAATGATTATGCTTAGTTAAAAAAAAAGTAAAGAAAAAGTTAGCGTGAAATTTCTTATTCAGTTATTAAGTTTGAGTATAACACTTGAATTGAAAGGCACATTTTTTTTTTTGAAGCATCCATTTCTTATACATGCTTTTTGAGTTGAGACCATTTTCTTAAACATGCTTTTTGAGCTGTGTCCATTTTCTAAAACATGCATTTTGAGCTATGTCCATTTTCGTAAGCTTGCATTTTGAGCTGCGCCCATTTCCTTCACTTTTGTCATCATGCAATATCACGTGACGAAATTTTTCCCGATAGTTTGTGTCAATAAGACATTTTAAGTAATAACAAGATGCATAATCCAAGATATTATCCAACTATTTTTGTAGAAAATATGGTGTTTTCTGATGACAATAACGCAGTATTTATTAAAGAAAAAACTTAAATAGCAGCTAAAATAAAAAAAAACTTTAACTTTGATTTTATCTTTATAGATTACCAGTCTTTAAGATAGAGTATAACCACCTGCACTTGGCTGGCAATGAACGTGTTAAACACGCAATTTGAGCTGTTTCCATTTTCCTAAACGCGCTTTTTGAGCTATGCTCAGAATAAAAAGCTATTTAGTTTACAATAACATAACTTGGATTGACTGTGAAAAATCATACCAAGCTAAATTGAATATTTTGCCCTAACTAAACAAGTTTAATCCATTTCCTCCTATTTCATTAATATTATAAAGAGAGATTTTGTTTAAAAGCTAAAAGATGTCTATTATTTTCAGGTAGGACACGTTACTCCATTCCTGAATGTAAGCCAAATGGAAGAGTCGGAAATACTTGTCTTCGAGGAGCAGAACCAGAAGATTTAACTCTATATTACCCAAATGGGCAACGTGAACTAGAAGGTGTTTACACTCTGTTTTGTCCCTGTGATCAAAATCTAGTTTGTAAATCAAATAGGTGCACTGTGTAATTTTTTTTATAACTAAAACACTTATTTAAAAAAAAAATGATGACTTGTAATGTAAGAAAATGCACCAATTCAATGAATAAAAATTTAATGCAAATAATAGAGAATATTGAGATAAGAAAGCTTTCTCTTAAGAAAATCTAACTAGAACTGGCTTTTGGATTTTTAAACTTCAAAACATGCAACAATATGGAAAATATAGTCCCAATAGAATAGGCAGGAGAACAGCCGAAAGTTTGGTTCCTTAATATTAAAAATAAAAAAATAATTAAATACAAAATTACTTTTAAAAAATTTACTTTAAATGAGCAAAAGGAAAAAAAAACCCTATATAATAGGAGTTTTTCCTTACAAGATATTTATTTAAAATAACAGGTATTTTAGGTTATAGTATATATTTAATAATATAGGCAGGAGAGTTACCGAAAACTTAGTTCTTTAATATTTATCACTTTTTGTATATTTTCCAATATCTCAGGATTTACTTAAGCGAATCGAAAGATTTTATAAAGGATAGTTAAAGAAAGTGAAAAGTAATTTTTTTTATATCTTTTTATTATTTTTCAATCAGGGGTCGCATTCCCCCTAAAATTCATAAAATTCCTAAAAGTATGTGCAAACCCTAAAATTCCTAAAAATCTGATAAAATTTTGTTGGTGTTCCTAAAAAATTAGAGTTATAGGCTAAATATAAATAAAAAAGCAATAATCTAAAATATAAGAATTTAACTACATTATTTAAAACTGTTTTAATTTTGCCACATGGGAATTCTGATCCTGAGAGAGGTTTTTCGATAAATAAAGCAATGCTTAATGTGAGTCACCATGAGAATACTATTATGTCTCTTAGACTAATCAAAGATACCATTCGAAATTATGGAGGAGTGTTGAAGATCACCACAACACTATTGAGGGCAGTAAAAGAATCTCACAAATCATATCAAGAATATATTAGAAAAATGATCATTCTCAGTGAAGTAA